GTAATGCTCAAGATCCTGCAAGGAAGACTCCAGCAATACATGGAGCGAGAGTTGCCAGATGTTCAAGCTGGGTTTAGAAAAGGCAGAGGAACGAGAGACCAGATTGCCAATATCCGGATGCTGGATAATGGAGAAAGGCAGGGAGTTCCAGAAAAACATCTATTTCTGCTTCATTGACTATTCTAAAGCCTTTGACTGTGTGGATCATAATAAATTAGCATTTATGTATCAAGGGGAGGAATATGTGAGGAATGAATGTTTGAATGCATGGAAAAGAGAAGAAACAGGCCTGAAGAAAAACCAACGTGGAGTTCTCGCAAGGCATGATATGGGACGAACTTGGCAGTCGAAGCGAGGAGGCAGTAAGGCATAACTGAACAACAATGGACAATGAGGTGTGCGGCCGAGCATGTAAGGAGTGCAGGAGGTACCCCATAAGTCATGAGGCCTGGAATGCGAATGTCTTGAACTTTGGAGAGAACAAAGACATATTGTCCTTTAGTAAGAGGACAGAGCAACCTGACTGTTGAAATGAAGAAAAATGGATTTTGGCTTATAAATGCAGGGGACCCCTGACAATCTCCATGCTTCCTGAACTGCAGCAATGGAGCGTCCACGCTTCCTCAGAAAAGACTGATCATCTTAGCCGGAGGAGGCCTGTGTGTGCGTGAGTATGAATGAATGTGTGTGTGCACGAGAGCTCTCCTTGATGTGATTCTGATATGATTCTATGACTTGGGCTGTAGCATCCTGATGCCATACCTGTGCCAAGAAGAAACTTGTGTGACTCTAAATACTACAGTTGCCATTAGTACACATTTAGGACATTACCCCACCTGTGAGAAGATTGTTGCTATGGTACAATCTATCTACTCCCCAACAGGTGAAAGTTGGTGGAATTGGCTAACCTCAGGGTTACCAGATTTCGGATGGCTAAAGGGATTGTTCCTGGGTATTGTCCTGTTGATTATTGTATTTTTTATAATTGTGATGTGTTTTCCCATTATCATGAAGATGTGTTATAAGTTCACCGCAAGTGCGGTTCCCAAATGCCAGGGTATCGTAAAAATGTTATAACTAGATATTGATCTTGGTTCAGCTTCTGTATGATCAGCTTTCGCAAAAAGAAAAGGGAGGAGTGAAAGGGTTAACAGAGCTTAGAAGTGTTTAAGTGCTGAAATGCAAACCTAAAGAGAGGCTTGTCCCTCTCCTCTGGCATGCAGAAGACCAAAAGCTAAGAGGAGATAATGAATCTGGAAGACACAAGATACTGTATTGTCAAGTTCGCCTAGGGAGTGCTCAGGGTGGGTTAACACCCAAAATGCTTATCTGTAACAATAATGTGTGTGTTTACGTAGTTTGTAGAAGGTTAGCAGTTAGAGACACTGAAGTACCAAAATATGAGAAAAACATGTTTTTGAATGGATGATCCGATAAGAGAGGTGTGTGCCCATGACACAGCGAAAAGACATGTATATAAGGTGACTGAAATATCCAAATATGAGAGACAGCCTTTTTTGAAGACACTGGTTTGTCTTGGTTGTTTCTCCCTGTGTGGCCACACTTGAAATAAAGAGATTTCTGCTTTACCTCTGGAGACTAGACTCTCTTCATTTTGCTGCCCTCTGTGACGGACTCAGCAAGGACCCCAAGCAGGGGGTCCCCTACAAAACAATAATATTTATTTATATCCCACTTTTATCTCCCCAAAGGGGACTCAAAGCAGCTTGACATAAAAGCATTGATATCCAATTTAAAATATATAAATATACAAACATTAAAACAGAATGAAACAGACAGTATTTTTAAGCATTCAGTTAAAATCCATCAAACATATTAAAAGTTAAGAACAAGTATGGTCTGCTACCCTGCAGGGATTTCACCACCTTGAGGGGACCCTCAAGACACATCCATCTGTTTATTCCTATTTGCAGATGCAATCATCATTTTATTTTATAATTCCTTACTGATTGTAAAGAGCTGGTTATGGCTGGCTACCCCAGTGCCTTGGCTATGGCAATCAGGCCAATGTAAAAGGATTGGGTGTTTTTTTAACCAGTTTATTTTTTTTTCTTGGCTTTGCAAAAGTTGCTTATTGGTTTGCTGCCTTCTTTAGACCTCTTTGTAGATTAAATCAGTTTATTTTATATTTAGATGAAGACTGCTACAGACAGCTATTTTTGGTTCCTTCAGCCAATATTTGGCTAATGAGGAGGCGTGCATTGTGGGAAATGTAGTTTAACAGCAGGGCCTTTTGGAATCTATCATTGGGGGCCTGGCCTTCCCAAACTACAGTTAAGATGGCTGTGATTAGCCATGCCCACCACATTCCTTCTGGCAGTACCAGCCGAAAGCATGAGATTTTAAAGGTTTTTTGGCTTAATGGTTGTAAAAATTAAAATAACCTTGGGAGACATCCGAACATTACAGAATATTTCTGGGGGGAAATCAGAATCTCCCCCCTACCTTTCCTGCATGGTTCAAAACTCACTTTGAAAGAAAAATTCTTATATTCATATTCAATTTTTCATGTATTTCTGATTATTTTTTTTTTGCTCATGCCTACTGGGCATTCCTATATGCAGATGACATAGCATTCAGCCACCAAAAATGTGCAGCCCTCCAACAGCTGCAGACATGGAGTACTAAATTCAATAAAAATGGACTTCAACCCCCAGACTCCATCTGTGTTTATATTTGGGCATATTGAGTATTCGTGCCAAGTTTGGTCCTGATCCATCATTGTCTGACTTCACAGTGCTGTCTGGATGTTGGTGAACTACAACTCCAAAACTCAAGGTCACTGCCCACCAGACCCTTCCAGTATTTTCTCTTGTTATTGGGAGTTCTGTGTGCCAAGTTTGGTTCAATTTCATCATTGGTGGAGTTCAGAATGCTCTTTCATTGTAGGTGAACTATAAATCCCAGCAATCTCCAAATGACAAAACCAATCCCCCTCCCAACCCCACCAGTATAAAAATGTGGGTGTATCGAGTATTTGTGCCAAATTTGGTCCAGTGAATGAAAATACATTCTGCGTGTCAGATATTTACATGACGATCCATAACAGTAGCAAAATTATAGTTATGAAGTAGCAACCAAAATAATGTTATGGTTGGGGATCACCACAACATGAGGAACTTTAATTTTTTAATTTTAGTCATTACATTTGGCCCGGCCCTAGTTTTAAATGTGTTATGATGTATTGTTTTTAATGTTTTATTGTTATTGCTTTTAATGTTTATTGGTTTGCTTTATGAGTTTTATTGTTGTATTTGTTATGCTGTTGTTTTATTGAGGGCCTTGGCCTTTGTAAGCCGCACCGAGTCCTTCGGGAGATGTTAGCGGGGTACAAATAAAGTTAATAATAATAATAATAATAATAATAATAATAATAATAATAACTGTATTAAGGGGTCGCGGTATTAGGAAGGTTGAGAAACACTGTTGCAGGAGAACAGCAGCATCCAAAATTCAAGGTCAGCCCTCCCCATTCCCCAAACCTGCTTCAGAGTGGTCTCTGGATGTTGGTGAACTATAACTCCCTGAATCTAGGGTCCACCCCTCCACACCCCTTAAGTATGTTCTGTTGGTTATGGGAAAGGGGGGGGGGTCTGTGTGCCTAGTTTGGTCCAGATCCATTGTTGGTGGGAGTTCCAGTGCTCTCTGAAAGTTGGGGGTTTCTTGAAAAATACAAACAAACATATAACACTATATATTGATATATAGATTATACAATATATATGGTTCTTACTTGACCTTACTTGACCTGAGCTCTGCAAGCGCAGCATTTTTCCGAATGAAGCAGAGAGTGTTTGAGGACCTGGACATCCGTAGGGATACAAAGGTGCTTGTTTATAAAGCTATTGTCCTCCCAACCCTGCTCTATGCCTGTGAGACGTGGACTGTCTACAGACCTCACATGCAACTCCTGGAACGATTCCATCAGCGCTGCCTCCGGAAAATCCTGCAAATCTCTTGGAAAGACAAGCAGACAAACGTCAGCGTGCTGAAAGAAGCAAAGACCACCAGCATTGAAGCGATGGTCCTCCGCCACCAACTCCGCTGGACCGGCCATGTTGTCCGGATGCCCGACCACCGTCTCCCAAAGCAGCTGCTCTACTCCGAACTCAAGAACGGAAAACGGAATGTTGGTGGACAGGAAAAGAGATTTAAAGATGGGCTCAAAGCCAACCTTAAAAACTCTGGCATAGACACTGAGAACTGGGAAGCCCTGGCCCTTGAGCGCTCCAGCTGGAGGTCAGCTGTGACCAGCAGTGCTGCAGAATTTGAAGAGGCACGAATGGAGGGCAAAAGGGAGAAGCGTGCCAAGAGGAAGGCGCGTCAAGCCAACCCCGGCCGGGACCGCCTTCCACCTGGAAACCAATGCCCTCACTGTGGAAGAAGATGCAGGTCAAGAGTAGGGCTCCACAGCCACATATGGACCCACAAGAATGTTGGAAGACAATCATCCTTGGAAAACGAGGGATTGCCTAAGTAAATAAGTAAGTAATATATATAGATTGATATATAGATATACATTGATATATATTGATATATATATATATTGATATATAGATTACATAATATATATGGTCCTTACTTGACCACTGAATGAAGGCAGAACCTTATTGAAAAGACAACTTCAGTCCTCACCTACATTTTGAGATTTAGGTCTATAATGTATATATTATACCATTAACATAATTTGACAACCCTGCAACTGCTATGCCTCAATGCTATTGAATCTTGGGACTTGTAGTTTGGTGAGGAGCCAGCACTCTTCATCAAAAAAAAAAAGGCCTCGTAAAACTACAGTTCTGACGTTTCCATAGCACTGAACTATGGCAATGAAAGTGGTGTCAAAGTGCAGTGTAAATGCAGCCTTCGCTTCCCCTTATTGGTAGCTGTCGAAGATAGAAGAGTCTATACAGAAACCGGAAGTCGAGGGTGTTCGTGCGTCGCTTCGTGCTCTGTGTCTATGATGCCCATCTTTGTGCCACGTCTTGGCGCAGGCGCAGTAGAGCGGCGGCGGCTGGCTGAGAGACACGAAGCGGCTGCGGCCTAGCCAGAGAGCCGGGCCTGTCGGGAAGATGAATTTCTTGCGGGGCGTTATGGGCGCCCAGAGCGCTGGGCCGCAGCCTTCTGGAGCCGAGACGGTGAGTCAGGCGGCTTGGGGTTTCCTCCTTGGGAAGCACTGCATGCCATTTTGCCTCCCTTGGCTTGTTTTCACGGCCTAGTTCCCAACCTGAGGGCTGAAGTTGTCCTTTCAGTAGGGCCCTGCCTTCACAATATAGTCAGGAAAGGACTATCTCTATAAGTAAGTATAATTGATAATGTGGGGTGTTGTGGGTTGCTGTCAAGTGTACTGAGAAACACAAGTGTGCTCCATGATCAGGCCTGGGCAAACTTCGGCCCTCCAGATGTTTTGGACTCCCAGCTCCCACAATTCCTAACAGCTAGTAGGCTGTTAGGAATTGTGGGAGTTGGAGCCCAAAACACCTGTAGGGCCAAAGTTTGCCCATGCCTGATCTATATCAGCCAGCACGTCAATCGACTTAAATCAAGAAATAGTTTTCTAAGATCTACAGATCTCAGCAAGCGAGAGTCCAACTTGTGCGGCAGCTGCGCCCGTACCTTGGGAAGTCTGACTTGGCCACGGTAGTCCACGCTCTGGTTACATCCCGTTTAGACTACTGCAACGCTCTCTACGTGGGGTTGTCTTTGAAGACAGCTCGGAAGCTCCAACTAGTCCAATGCTCGGCAGCCATGATTTTAACAGGAGCGGATGGAGGGAGCATACAACCCCCCTGTTGCGCCAACTCCACTGGCTACCGATCTGCTACCGGGCTGAATTCAAAGTGCTGGCATTGGCCTTTAAAGCCCTAAACGGTTCCGGCCCAAGCTACCTACCCGACCGCATCTCTGCCTATGAACCCACCAGGACTTTGAGATCTTCCGGGGAGACCCTGCTCTCGATCCCGCCTGCTTCTCAAGCTCGGCTGGCGGGGACGAGAGATAGGGCCTTCTCGGTGATGGCTCCTCGGCTGTGGAACGCCCTTCCTACGGACATTAGACTAGCACCATCTCTAATGGTATTCCGCAAAAAGGTGAAGACCTGGATGTTTGTGCAGGCGTTCGAATAATTAGTGCAATGATTGGTTAATGAACACTGGAATGGAACAATGGATGATGAATCTGGAACATGTTTTTGATGACGAGACGACAGTGAATGGGTATTGTAGTAACTGTTTATTAATTGTGTAATGTGTTAGGTTGTTAACTGTTTCTATACTGTAGCACTGAATTTTTGCTGTTCGTATTTGTTGTGAACCGCTGTGAGTCGCCTTCGGGCTGAGAACAGCGGTATATAAGTAAGTAATAAATAAATAAACAAGCTGAAGATTAATCCCGACAAGACAGAGGTCCTCCTGGTCGATCGTAAACCAGACCGGGGTATAGGGTGGCAACCTGTGCTGGACGGGGTTGCACTCCCCCTGAAGTCACAGGTCCGCCGTTTGGGAGTCCTCTTGGACTCATCACTTACACTTGAAGCTCAGCCGTCGGCGGTGGCCGGGAGGGTTTTTACACAATTGAGACTCGTGCGCCAACTGTGACCTACCTCGTGAAGGCGGATCTGGCCAGGGTGGTCCATGCCTTAGTCACCTCCAGATTAGACTACTGTAATGCGCTCTACGTGGGGTTGCCCTTGAAAATGGCCCGGAAATTCCAACTGGTCCAACGGGCGGCGGCCAGGATGTTAATTGGTGCTCCCTACAGAGAGAGGTCAACCCTCCTGTTCAAGGAGCTCCATCGGCTGCTGTTTATTTTCCAAGCCCAATTTAAGGTGCAGGTGCTTTACCTACAAAGCCCTAAACCAGGAGTCCTCAAACTAAGGCCCAGGGGCCGGATGTGGCCCTTCAAGGTCTTTTACCTGGCCCTCGCTCAACGTCAAACTAAGTCTGAAATGACTTGAAAGCACACAACAACAACAACAATCCTACCTCATCAGCCAAAAGCAGGCCCACACTTCCTATTGAAATAAAAGTTTGTTAAAATTGTTCTTCGTTTTAATTATTGTATTGTTTTTAAGTGGTTTTGCACCACAAATAAGATATATGCAGTTTGCATAGGAATTAATTCATTTTTTTTTTCAAATTATAATCCGGCCCTCCAACAGTTTGAGGGACTGTGACCTGGCCCTCTCTTTAAAAAGTTTGAGGACCCCTGCCCTAAACTGTTTGGGACCACCCTACCTGCATGACCGCATCTCCGTTTATGAACCCACACGCTCCCTTCATTCATCCGGAGAGGCCCTGCTCACGATTCTGCCTGCGTTGCAGGCACGTCTGGTGGGGACGCAAGACAGGGCCTTTTCTGTGGTGGCCCCCCGACTCTGGAACACCCTCCCCAAAGATCTTAGACAGGCCCCTATGTTAGCAGTCTTTAGGAAGAACTTGAAGACCTGGCTGTTCCAATGTGCCTTTCCAGAATAGGAAAACTCCAACAAAAAGTTCCAGAAGCACTTTAGTAGAAATTAAGATTGCTGGCACAGTGCACTTACCCTATAATCCTACATACCACCTGTCACATCAGCACTTTTAATTCTGTACCCATTACTCTGGCCCAGCCCAGTTTTATTGTGTCTTAGTGTATTGTTTTTATTGTTTGTTGTTTTAATATTGCTTTAACTGTTTTTGATTTGCTCAAAGTTGTGTATTGTTATGCTATGTTTTGAGGCCTTGGCCTTTGTAAGCCGGGAGATGCTAGCGGGGTACAAATAAAGTTAATAATAATAATAATAATAATAATAATAATATTAATCCCGACAAGACAGAGGTCCTCCTGGTCGATCGTAAACCAGACCGGGGTATGGGTGGCAACCTGTGCTGGATGGTGTTTTTGAGTTATGTTAATCCCACAAACAAACATTGCATTTTTATTTATACAGATTTACTATATTTGTACCCCACCCTATCCCACTCTTTATAAGCAATACAGGTAGATAGATACTGGACTATTCTCTTCTGATTGTGTCAGACCTCAGTCCAGTTTTGGACACCGTAATTCAAGAAGGATATTGACAAGCTGGAACATGTCCAGAGAAGGGAGACCAAAGTTATTAAAGGTTTGGAAGCTAAGCCCTACAAGGAGCAGCTAAGGGAGCTGGATATCTTTAACTTGGAGAAAAGACGGTTGAGAAGAAACATGGTAGTCACATTTAAGTATCTGAAAGTATGTCACATTGAGGAGGGGGCAAGCTTGTTTTTTGCTGCCCTGGAGACTAGGACACAGGGCAACAGATTCAAACTGCAGGAAAACAGCTTCCACCAAAACTTTAGGAAGAACTTCCCTTATGTTTGGCAGAGGAATGCACTGCCTTGGGGTGAAGTCTCCTTCTCTGGAGGTTATTAAGCAAAGGCTGGATGGCCGTCTTTCAGAGGTGCTTTGATAGTTTGTTCCTACATGGCAAGTGGGTGGACTGGATGACCCTTGTAGTCTCTTCCAACTCTATGATTTTGTGATTCTACGTTATGATTCTTCTGTTTTTCTTCCTCACAGATTATAATACATTAGAATGACTTATTGTACAACATTATTGTATAGATTTATGTATGAGAGCTCTTGTATTTATGAACAGTGTAAATTAGTGTCCTAAAAGTAATACTTGTGGTATGTGTTTCACTGTCATTGGCATCCATGATCAGTAAATTTTACAAATTGCTGCCTGTTCTCATATTACTTAGTAGACAGCTGGAGTGATACCAGCAGCTTGCTTCATCCTTCCCTTACAAAAGAAACACTGAGATCAAAGGGTTAAGATTGGTTTTCTTGGATCCCAAAAGCATCTTCTTCTTAGGCAATCCCTTGTTGGCCAAGTAGGATAGTCTTCCAGGATCAGTATTCTGGTGGGTTCGTAGGTGACTGTGGAGCCCTATTCTTGATCTGCATCTTCTCCCGCTGCGAGGGCATTGGTTTCCAGGTGGAAGGAGGTCTCGGTCGGGGTTGCTTGACGTGCCTTCCTCTTGGCACATTCTCTTTTTCACCCTCCATTCGTGCCTCTTCAAATTCTGCAGCACTACTGGTCACAGCTGACCTCCAGCTGGAGCGCTCAAGGGCCAGGGCTTCCCAGTTCTCAGTGTCTATGCCAGAGTTTTAAAGGTTGGTTTTGAGCCCATCTTTAAATCTCTTTTCCTTCCCACCAACATTCTGTTTTCCGTTCTTGCTTTGGGAGACGGTGGTGGGGCATCCGGACAACGTGGCCGGTCCAACGGAGTTGATGGCGGAGGACCATCGCTTCAATGCTGGTGGTCTTCGCTTCTTCAAAAGACACCAATATTGACTCTTCAACAAATGGCTCCCGTATTAAGCAACATCTAGTAAGTTTTCTGTATCCACAAATTCTGCAGCCATTGATTAAACCATTCACAGCTTGAAAGTATCCCCCTCCAAAATTCTGAAAGTTAAATCTCGATTTGGCCATTTCATATAAGAGAAACAAGTTTACTGTGCCATTGTATATAATTGGATTTAAGTATCTATTGATTTTGGTATCTGCAAGGGGCCGGGGAATCAAATTCCAGTAGATACCAAGCGCCTACTGTAATTACCAGACTTGTAAGAAATGGTTAGATAGGAAAAGGGTGGTAGATGCTGGTTGATCAAGAGTTTTGGATACCCAGTTATTTTAATAAGAAAAACATGCCAGCTCTTCAAAAACGAGACTTTTGCTTTTTGTTGTCCATGCAGTACTCTAGTTTAGTTCTATTTTCTGTTGATCCATAGAGCCATTCATCCATCTGGGTTTGAGTCAATAGCAAAGGTGACCAAGTCTTTTGTAAACATTCTTTCCAGTCATAATATGCTTACATTTCTGTCTTGTTAGCATAGTAAAACAAACAGTCAAAGATAGATTTGATTAAAACAAAGGGTTTCTTTCTTTCTTTCTTTTTTTGCATTATTCAACTCTTTATCTTTGGAGCATTGGTTTTTAAATGAGCCTGGACTACTTATAGCTTGTAAGGAAGATGTAACTTTATAGGTTAAATGAAACAAATACTAAATGATCTCTTATATTATCGAGAGGGAGATTTTGCTATCGGTCCTTGTATATAGAGGGTGGGATCAATAGTAGGTCCATTTTTTTAAAGCTTGGCTGAGAACTGAAAATTCAAAAGTGGCAAGTTTTGCTCTTTTAGTTCATCTGTGAATACAGGATTCTTTTCCCTGTACAGAGCAGAGGTTGTTCTTGGTGCAGAGGTTGCAGTACATGTTCTGCAACCTTTGATCAAACCGAGGAGAACAAGGAGAAAAATATCTGCTTCCCTTACATTCTGAACCTTTATGGTTTGGATGCATTGTTGCTCAGAAATGCTGCCAGAAACCCCGCCTACATAATACAGTTGTAAAGAGCTCATGCTTTTCATTGTGGAACAGAAAGGCAAACAAGCTTTTCTTTTTCAGTATGAATGGGATTTGTGACACTACACTGAGCATAGAAAATGTTTTCATGTTGGGAATACAGTGTGGAAAATTGATGCATTCGATTTGCAGGGTTTTAAGGCTGCTCCTTTCCAGTGATAACTAAAAGTTTGAATAAAATTATTCATTCAACTTGCTTGTTTGCTTTCAAGCCTGACATCTGTCTTGGCAGCATTGTTTTAATAGGACTAAGACCCTTTTTACGCTGCCCTATATTCCAGGATTTGATCCCAGATTATCTGTTTTGAATTGGATTATATGAGTCTACACTGCCAGATAATCTGGGATAAGCAGACAATCTGGGATCAGATCCCAGGATGTAGGGGCAGTGTGGAAAGGGCCTAAGAAGCATTTTGTAGTAGTAGCTGCGGATCCCTAGAGCACCAGTTTCTCAATGAAACGGTTGGGAGCATGCTACTGTGGCCTCTGTCTTAGAGTACTTGCCAGTATTGCCTCCCATGTACAGTCAACTCTCCACATTTGTGGGTTTAACTTTTGCAGATTTGATAATTTGTGTATTCAATTAGTCTGTTCTCTCTTGAAATCTTCTGCCAGATGTTGACAATAAAGTTATGTTGTCTACTTTGATCTTCCCAGAGAGGTGTTCTCTCAATTTTTTAAAATCCCCAACAATTGCGAAAGTGGTGATCATGTTGTATCTTATAGTGGACTACTATAAGCCATCTGGAGACTTGCGTGGAAATGTACCGGTATTTGTTAGGCCGATGTAACTTGGCTCTCCATTTAGTTCTGATGCCAGGCCAGAGGTCACTGAAATATATTGTGTTAATTTGTATTATTCTGATGTATGTATGGATGCATATGGAAAGATCTGAGCTTGAAATCAGGCAGCTACTAATGCCATTACTATATTTTTCTTAATGAAAAGTAATACATTCCTCATTATTCTAAAACTTATATAAGGACATATTTCAACATTTTTACCTTCCTGTGCTATGCCTGTATTCTCTTATTCATCATTAAAGGTGAAAACTAAAGATAGAGGCATTAAGACTTTTGGGACAGGGGAGGCCTACATTTTCAGTCTTGTTTGCTTTCCTCTAGCATATTGCTATACATACTAATACACAAATAAGACAATTGAATTCAAAGGTAATTCTATTTAGAGGATCCTCTGACCCAGAAAGTCATGCTGTCTCATTTGCCAAGGCCCCACAGCAAAGCACCATCTCCCAGGAAAGGAGACTGCAAAAAGCCTTCTGCAGCTGCTCCCTGATCAAATTAATAGTGCAAGTGCCTGGGGAGGACACAGGGAAGGAATGCTTAAACTGATATTCTGGCAGAATTGGGGAGATATCTGTGAAATCTTGTTAAAGGCCTTCGGATTGCTAATTTGTTACACTATTTATTTTTGTGGATCTTTATTCTGGTTGAAAATGTGATAGAAAGTGCTTTGTGTGAGTGTAGGGATCCACTCATCCTTTTCAGAAGTTGAGTTATCAATGGAATACAATCCCAAAAGGTTATTTGGAAAGGAAGTAGCTCTCAAGGAGATAAATATTCCTAATCTCTGATGTATTATTCTTATATTTATGAGCAATGTTAGTCCCATTCTCAGTAAAGAAAGATTAATAGTGGTGTAGTCCTGTTTTTTAAAGTAACAATAAGTGCAGTAAGATCTTTAACATTATACGTTCAAGTAAAATTTAGTGATAAAACTCTAAATCAGGGGTCCTCAAACTAAGGGCCAAATACGGCCCTCCAAGGTCCTTTACCCGGCCCTCACTCAGGGTCAACCTAAGTCTGAAATGACTTGAAAGCACACAACAACAATCCTATCTTATCAGCCAAAAGCAGGCCCACACTTCCCAATGAAATATTAATAATTATATATTTGTTACAATTGTTCTTCATTTTATTGTTTTTAAGTGTTTTTGCACTACAAATAAGATATGTGTAGTGTGCATAGGAATTCATTCATGCTTTTTTCAAATTATAATCCAGCCCTCCAACAGTTTGCAGGGCTGTTACCTGGCCCTCTGTTTAAAAAGTTTGAGGACCCCTGCTCTAAATGATAATATAAAACATTTTTAAAATTTTAGAAACACAAAATTAGGATAGCTATTTGATATTTGATAAGTAACTTATAGGAGTACACCCATCAATAAATAGTTGATACATTCCCCTTTGAGTTTTACAATGATCTGCCTTAGAAGCTTCCCATCTGACCCAGCCCACACGATAAAGTTGCTGTTCCACAAGGACTCTACAATACTATCCTCGAGGTATTCATAGAGAATATTTTGGAAACATAAATTTGTAAATACCTTCTGTAAATGGGTATTAATAAAGGCTATATGGTAATAATAAATGCATTCGTTATTAAAATGAGACTACTGCCCAGAACATTTTGCATGCAAGATCAAATTAACATCTTGCTTAGCATTCTAAGCAAATAGACAACCTTGAACTGTGTTTTATATTCTAGATCTCAATGATTTTGTAGTGAAGGCAGGGAGTAGATTTATAAAACATGTATTTGCATACTAGTTGACTTGTTGCTATCCCTCAGATGTCAAAAGCAAAGTTTAACTAATGGTTACAGGAGAGGCCATCTAGTTTTTAAAATTATTTTAGCACCTTCAGATGAACTCTTACATTAAGACAGTCCAACTTCCAATCTTAGGTGTGTGATCTTGGGAAACACCCAATATTGTCCTTTAAATTTGCATTGGACTATTCCTAGTTGACAGTGCACCTTCTCATTCCATTACCATATTTCAGCCTAGGATAAAAGTTTTGAAATAACTTTGTCCTGTAATATTTTAAAGGCAGGGGCTGTTTAAAAAAATAACCTTTTAAAAACCAAAACCAATGAAACATATTTAGGCTCAACTGTAGTGAACTTCCAGTGGAAGCTCCTGTCATAGCTCAGGATTACAGAGAAAAGATATTTGCTGTTAACAAATGCAGTGAAACACCTTGTAAGTTTTTGGTTTTCTTTACTTCTAGATTCAGAAATTATGTGATAGAGTAGCATCCTCAACGTTACTTGATGATCGTAGGGATGCTGTACGTGCACTAAAATCTCTTTCAAAGGTATGTATGTTTCATTCCTTTAATATCATTTGGATATTTTTTATTCATTTATTTATTTGGGACATTTTAATACTACGTTTCTACATGTAGCTTTCATTTAAGTAAGAATCTTTTAACTTGACATTGTTAATTTCTGTCCTTGACCTTAACAGAAATATCGCTTGGAAGTAGGGATTCAGGCTATGCCTCATCTTATCCATGTTCTCCAAACAGATCGGTAAGCATCTTAAGAAAAAATTAAGACGTGTTCAGACCTTTTCTGCTCATCCTTGCTGTAGTGCATGTTTCAATTAAATTCAAATTAGTATGATGTACTTGCAAGATCCTTTTAATATGAAATAAAATTATCAGTAGCTATCAGAAGGGTACACTTTTGCAAGTACTAAATGGCAAACTCAGTGATTAAAAAATAATTATCAGAAATTATTTGTGTCCTTAAGAGATTATTTATATAAGAGAGCTTATTCTCTATCCAAAATAGTGATTGCCAGAAAGACATAGATAATTAAAAATGTTTTATAACTATTTCTTGTATTGAAAATGCCATGACTTGCAATATAGTTGCTGCTAATGAGCCAAATATGAATATTCATCCTAATGAAGAGATATTTCAAACATGCTGACACTGCTTTCCATTCAGTAAAAAGTGGCATTTGTTTTCACAGTTCAGATTCGGAAATAATTGGTTATGCTTTGGATACCCTTTACAATATTATCTCCAATGATTTAGAAGAGGAAGAACAAGGTACACACTTGATTTTAATGATATAATTGCCTAAACATGTAGGTTTGCTTTTGTTTAATTATCTGGTTATCAGTTGAAGATTAAAAAAAAACAACATAGTTCACAACTTTGGTTTGCAATTCTGAAAACAAGGCTATATGAAGTTTGTGCCCATTCACCCTCACTTATTTTCTCTCTTGTTTCTTTATCAAGAGGGAGATAAAAGTCTCTGCTTTCATTTTACGTTAATAAGAACTTCCTCTTGTGTCTGAACCCAGAGAATGGTGATTAGTTTTAATAGTAGCTAGTTCAAAAAGGACAAGATCATACATAATATATAGTTTGATCTTGTCTTGTTAAAATTATTTGCAGATCCCTACGTGCAGACATAACAGGGAACTCTGACTAGCTTCAAATCAAAGTAATTGCTTCTGATCTTCCAACTGCATCAGAGAAGAGAAGAGATGAGAGTGTCTGAGCCTATGGCTTATGCAGGCTTGTTCACATTACCATAAGTAATAAATGTGCATTGCAATTGAGTTACCAAGTATCTCTTTGCTATTTCAGAAATCGTTTTTATGAAACTAGTATTTGTGTAAACACAGTGTTCACAATCTTTGTATAACTGTCATATATCTGAACAAATAGAATATGTGGTTTAACTATTGTGGAAAGTTATTTTTACAATATGTGTGAGTGTGTCAGAGCATGCCTTCAAGTCACCTATGAATATATGGTGATTCCATGAATTTCGTAGGGGTTTCTTAGGCAAGGAATATTTAGAGGTGATTTCCTATTTCATTATTCTGAGTGGAGCCTACAGCACTTGGTCATTTTAAAACTTCTACCGTGTTTTTATTTCTCTCATATAGAATTACCTTGTTTACTGATACAGCATGTCAAATGTTTCAGATCTTTTTCTCTATATAATTATATAACTAGGATTCCACCTTAACTGCCAAGGCAGTTGGATTTTTTTGGATGAAATTTTGTGATTTGTAGTTTAGTGAGGCACTAGAGGCCTCTGAGATATAATTCTATACACTTCGTTAAACTATAAACCTAGGAGTACGTAAGATGAAGCCATTGCAGTTAAGGTGCAGTGTATAATGTGAAATTTTGTAGTTTACTTTGCTATAACAGTCTGCTAGAGATACACTTCCACATCGGGCAATTTCTTCTTGGGGGATTAGGCACATAAAATCACCCAAGGGTGATATAGTGGATTAAAACTATGTCTTATTCTTGTGTTTCCTAAGTCAAGATGTTACATATTATTTCTCAAGTGGCTAGCCTGTCATATATAATCAATAAGAGACAGAGATAAAACACAAATGATTTTAATTATTGTTTTCCTCTGGAAATATGAGTAATAAGTCTTACAGATCTTTCCATAATAATTTGATCTCCAAATGGTGGATCTTTTTCTGAATGGCAGATACGCATTCAGCTGTGGTGAGATCCGGAGTGGGGGTGGGAGGAGAAAAAATACTTGTGTTTTTTTCTTCCTGTTGTTCTTGGGATTGTATTAATATACATTGAGCTCAAAGTAGCCAGCTGTCAACTTGTACATTTTCCTATCTTTTCACCAAACTGCTTCAGAACATTAGAGCATATATCTCTATCAAGATCCAGGTGTATTGCAGTTAGTTCAAATTTATCATAATATTAGTAAAGATGCTGAAGTTGGTGGATCTAATTTGGTTATGAGTACAGGCCTCTGGATTTTAATGAATCTACTCAAATTATGATTAAATAATTAGTACCTTCACATTGATGCTGCTTGTGTAAGGGAACAGTGCTATTTTGATATTCAGACCTCAAGAATGTTCACCAGGAGGTCAGGCTTTTTAGGGTACATTATTAGATCCTACAGTATATATTGTGTGATGTACTGGATCTCATTTGAAAAAACTAGCTTGTGAGAGATCCTGGGGCTCTTTCATTATCTTATGAGTTTCTATCAATTTTTGAAAGTTTTTAAGTTGGTTGGAGAATAATTTTGGGGGACACACCTAGAGTTAAAAAAAACGGAGAAACACATGTAATGATAATATAGCTCTACATGTTAGAAATCAGATTTTTTTATTTGAAGCCAAGATAGGACTGTAGAAAATATTTATTTTGGTTAAATAAAGAATGTAAAATCAAAATTGAGATTAATGCAGCTTCAAGCAACCATGCTTCAAATAATATTTGTTGCATTTTATATATAGAAAACATTCAGATGTACAGAAATTGCTTCCATAAGCATGTGCTTTGCTATTTTTTTTTTTTACAAATCATTTGATGATGGGTGATACTTGGAAATATTTGTTCAGGAATTGTCAAAGGCTTTCATGACCAGAATCACTGGGTTGTTGTAGGTTTTTCGGGCTATATGGCCATGTTCTAGAGGCATTCTCTCCTGACGTTTTGCCTGCATCTATGGCAAGCATCCTCTCTTTACTTTTAAAGGAGTTGTTCTCCTCCAGAAAGGATGCTTCTAGAGCAGTGGTCTCAACCTGGGGTCCCCAGATGTTTGGCCTACAACTCCCAGAAATCCCAGCCAGTTTACTAGCTGTTAGGATTTCTGGGAGTTGAAGGCCAAAAACATCTGGGGACCCTAGGTTGCTCTAGAACATGGCCATATAGCCCGAAAAAACCTACAACAACCCATTTGTTCAGGCATTAAGGTGTATCAGACTAGGACAAGTAGGTGATATTGTTTTATTAATTTTGAAGAGAAAGAGAATTCAAAGAGAAAAGAGGAAACCAGTATTGGGGAGGACCATTCTGATCATATTGATGGCTGATTCTTTTGAACAGCTTGGATGATAATCAGCTAAACCAGGGGTCCCCAAACTAAGGCCTGGGGGCCGGATACGGCCCTCCAAGGTCATTTACCCAGCCCTCGCTCAGGGTCAGCCTATGTCTGAAATGACTTCAAAGCACACAACAACAACAATCCTATCTCATCAGCCAAAAGCAGGCCCACACTCCCCATTGAAATACTAATAAGTTTATATTTGTTAAAATTGTTCTTCATTTTAATTATTGTATTCTTTTAAAGTGTTTTTGCACTGCAAATAAGATATGTGCAGTGTGCATAGGAATTCATTTTTTTTTTCAAATTATAATCCGGCCCTCCAACAGTTTGAGGGATTGTGACCTGGCCCTCTCTTTAAGAAGTTTGAGGACCCATGAGCTAAATTGTAGGCATTCTATGGCTTCTCTGGGGCCAGAGACCATACTAGATCTCTCTCACTTAAGCAAAGCTGTATCCTGTTCTTCATTTAAAATGCTATTACACTACCAAATTTCAGTAGCATGGCAACAGATTCAGTGGATAAGCTTCTTCGAAGAAAAGAACAAAGGTATTCCTTTGCTTTCATGTTGCCCACCCTGCAGTGTCATGCCGATTTTATTTTGTAACAGAACTGAAACTCCTTGGTAGGGGAGCATGATTTAAAGGAAGGTATGATAAGAAATTTGTAGAATCTTTGATGGTTTCCAGTCTCTAGTGCATGGATTTAGCAATACATCATTAGGAGTACCTAAGCTAGACTAATCAAGTAACCATTGTAATATTGATCTGGAGTTCTTCCTTTTGACTTAGTTCTATACAATTAACTGACCTTTTGTGCTGTACTAAATGGGAAACTGCTTCATTTTGAATCTTTCTCTCTTCTTCTCTGCCTTTACAGATGATTCTGAAGGTAAAAAGGATCTAAATTTATATTAGCATGGTGCCTGTTAGTCATAGTTTGAAGGACTAATGACTCACAACTCAAGCACTTTAAAAGGGACATTCCATTGCAAGTATTTTAGAGTTGTAATTTTCTTCTTAAACTCCCAAGTTGAAAACAGTTTGATCCTTTGCATTTCAAGAGGAACAGTGTAATTAGAAGTAGTATCGTTGGAATAATATGATAGCTTGTGATGTAAGGTCATCGTTTGTTACTAAAAATGCTGATGTAATATGAAAAGATGTGTTCAGAAATGTTTGTTCCTTTATTTTCACCAACCTTGGCTTGCAAGGTACAAAAGGTTAATGCAGTTAGATTTAATTGGTGAAGGCATTTGTACCAAAGCAAAGTCAAGTTCAAAATTGCCTCATTTGAAGTGTCCTTTTTAAACAGTGCTTTGTATATAAGCATGCTTTATTTAACATACCCTACTGTATAGAATTAGGTTTATCTTTAACTGTACAGAGTTCCAAGATACATTTAGACTAATGTAGCACACTAACAAACAACTAATCATACTAAAATATTTTGTTCCAGGCTTGTACTAATGAGTTCAGGTACATTATAACCTGCTTCATAGCATGCTCAAACTATTAGGCTTCTTTCCTGTTACCCTCTTTTGTTGTCAATGTATATATGTTTGTTCTTCAAAAATACTTAGATTTTCTCTTATTTCTAAATTTATTCTAACAATTAAAAAGGATAATGAATATCATTGTCCACATCTTGATACAGATATTTAAGAACCAGACTGTTTTAATAGCAGTTTTGAATATCCGTGTCATGAGGGTTGGAAAAAATTAGTAACAGCTAAGAAGTTAAAATAATTTCCAAATTGATGTATCAGAGAGACTAAAATATAAAATGTAAAGTTGTTTGTTGGGTATTGTGACCTTAGTAGGACATGCCAGTCCTAGGCTTCTCCAGTTCTCATCTCATCCAACCATTGTAATACATTTCTCTGCAGAGGTTGAAAAAATAGAATAGATTGAAGGGAGCTTTTCTTCTAGGCATTAAAGAATATTATAACATCCAGCATAGAAATAACTGGAATAAGTGTTCTCAATATTATGGAATAGGAGTCCAAAGAAGCCAATGTAGTGGTGTCAAAGAAGAACAACAATGCTAATTCTTTTTTCTGATGTTAGCAAACCTTGGCAGATTCAAAAAAGGATTCAGTCAGTGGAGTCCCTAAACAGATTTCAACGGTAACTTAGATTGAGATGAGGCCTAGCAAAGAGAAAATCAGGACCAGAAGTTAGTACTAACTGGTGACAAGCCAAAAGGAAGACGTTATCTTGTGTAAATACTGCTACACATAGCTTTCCCCCCTCTCCATTTTAACTATTTGTGTTGGAATTAAAAGTCCAAGAAACTACAATAGTGAGAGAAGAAAGCACAGTCAAATAAAATATATATCACCAGCAACAAAATAGACAGAAAATAGGAAACAAGACTGAGAAAATAAAGAGTTTAAGAGAAAATAAAGTAGGCAAGTGTGCTATCTAGAAGTGAATAATTCACAAGAAAAAAATACTCCATAGTCATTTCTTGGATGTGCTATTACTTTGGTGGGGAGGAGAAAATTATAGATGTATTTTTAAAAAATTATAATAGTGTCCTATGAGTGTAGCACAGCTTTGTAACTAAGTCAGAAAAGTTACAAACCCACAGAAATTTAGCATAGAAGAGACACAGAGATAGGTTCAAAGTAGGGATATGGTACTTTATACTTTTTCTGTTTGTTTTCTCAATAGCCACTCTGGGAGTCTTTTTGTCTGAGGGGAAGGGTATAAAAAACAATCAATAAATCAATATAGCCTGTCTGTAATTCCTTGGAACAAATTCCCGTCTAAATAAAGCATCAGTGCGATTGTGCAATTTACACTGTGTGAGTTCTGATAGTTCCCTTGCATATTGAAGACCATACTAGTGTTGCTTTCCTTTTGAGGCTAAACAGGTAGTGAACATAAAAGAGTAAAGACATGTCAAGGAGAATGGCATTGTTCATGAAATCTGGAATTTCAGTTTAGAAATACTTTATAGCTCAGAAATTTACTGAATGTAGTATGTAGAAATAGTGGTTCGAGTTATGTACTTTGTCCAAATTGATTGAGAACCTATGGGGCAGGGGGAGGATACAGAAAATAGGCTAATGGATCTGGTTTCTATGTCAAGGTGAGTATTGGGCTGTGAACACAGCCATAACTGAACTTGTACTTACTGCCTAGTCCTTTGTTTATTCCTGCCCAGTCCTAGTACTCGAGTAACTTTTCTGTATTTTAGCACTAGGCATGAAGGAAACTTCTCTAAAGAATCTTGTGGGGGCCAAAATTAGCAGAGTGTTATGCATTGTGACCATTATTCAGAGCTTGGAAATATTACTATTTGGAAGGCCACCATTCCCAGAATCCCTCAGTCAGCTCAGCAAGATGGCCATTATTTGAATTTGAAATACTTTTACTACTCCAAATGTTGAAAAGAAACAGTCTTCTTAATCTCAATCAGCTTTATTCTAAAGGTTGGGAAGGTCAGTCAAGGTTGAGAAGAGGTACCACTGTACTGGAGTTAAAAGCCCAGTCCCTATTTCCATACTGTCATCATCCTCACAACTGATCACATTTCAGCCATTACAGCATTCATAGTTAGTTAATTAGACAGAAAAGAATTGCCCATCCTCCAGAGGTCACATCAACTCCGTAGGTTCCATTTACATTTCTGCCACTTTTCTAGCTTCTTGACTACCAACTATTATTTAAGATGCTGTCTCCACAATCTACATCTTGGTAAAAAAAAAATCAAAAACTTATACAACAATGGTGTGATAGAAATAATTATCAGTCTACTGCAGACGCTAACTGTCATGGCAACATTTTCCAGCAAGTGCCTGTTGATGTTAATGATGCTATGAAATCTCTCTACACTACATTAAATTTACTTTGGTGCATTTGTTGTGTGATGTGTGACAACTAATGCATATTTGTGGTGTTTATATTCAGTTGTCTTCTCACTGTTATATTTACCAGATGTAGTCTTTATCAGAAGCTCTGAAACTGCTCTCTTGTTGGCTATTTAATATTACAGAAGAAAATTCACAGAAGCAAGTTGAAGATCTTGGAAGCCAATTTACAGAAATTTTTATTAAGCAGCATGAAAATGTCACTCTTTTGTTGACATATTTAGAGGTGAGAATTATTTTACAGCTCTAGAGTAAACTTTTATTTACTTTAATAGTGCCATGAATGAAGCTATACCAATTTAAGACTATTGCAAGAAACAAGAGTTTGTTTCAGAGATTACTGATAGATATACACTAGTGTGAGCCATCCTTTCAAATATTCACCATGACTAAAATCATAGGATTTCTAATCCCATATTTCTCTGTGATGTTTAAACTGGGATGGGACATTTTGCAGTGGAAGTCTGCAGTTAGTCATGTCAGTTTTTAGACTTGTTGTTGGCTGGTTCTGTCTTTGTACAGAACCAGTATAGGGAAAATGTTGCTAAAGCAGAGCTGCAAGGAGGAAAACCTTGCATATAGGATTGAAAAGAGAGTCTGGATATATATTTCTATACATCCATGATTTTCAAAAAGCTTATATACTGTAAGAAAAATGTTCATTGGAGATTTGTGCAAGAGATGTAATGGTTATTTCCCTTATCACACAATTCCCCATTGGGTTTGCTGTTTTCCTCTCCCCACCTCATCACCTTTCATTTTTCTACTATGTCATTTAGATTTAAATGCCAGTCCTTATAAATGACTATAATACAAGACAGTGTTGTATAGTTTTTAGGCTATAACATTCACTGGGTGACCCTACCTCTCTCTCAGCCTAACCAAGGTTACACCATTGTCTTCTGGATAAAATGTGGGGGGAATACCCTGAGCACCGCGGGAGAATGACAGGATATCAATAAAACAGCCTTTCATTTTCATCTTAGCAGACAACAAAATTGGTGTTTTACTGTTAATTTAGCTTTCATTAGTCCCGCAGGGGACTCAGGGCGGATTACAGTGTACACATATATGGCAAACATTCAATGCCAATTTTAACATACAACATATACAGACATACACAGAGGCTATTTAACCTTTTCTGGCCACCAGGGGAGCTGTCGCTTTCATCGTCCATCTGCGACACTGATGAAGTACTTCCGCATTCCCTGCATGCTTTTTTTGCTGGAGTGCTTTGTTGGAGTCTTTTTTTGGCCTCATAAATTAATTATTCTAAGTTGACATTAATTCTAAACTAAGCAGCAGAGCCTTGAACTGAGTCTTTGGGGTATATTGTGTCTCAAGCATTTATTGAAGAGAAAGCTTTTTACTATAGACATGCTTGGGAGTCAGAAACTCTTGCTGATCTACTACAAATCAGCTGTCCTGGTTTAGAACAACTATAAACATATATAGGTTAATGGAAGCTCTGAAATACAGTGGGTTTTAATGCATAGCATGATATATTGCAGGAATTTGATTTCCAAGTTCGGTGGCCTGGAGTGAAACTTCTTACAGCATTGTTAAAGCAGCAGGGACCTCAAGTGCAGCAGATCATATTAGTCAGTCCTATGGGTAAGTATTAATACCAGTTTTATTTTGAACATTTACCGTATATACTCGAGTATAAGCCGACCCGAATATAAGCCGAGGCACCTAATTTTACCACAAAAAACTGGGAAATCTTATTGACTCGAGTATAAGCCGAGGGTGGGAAATGCAGCTGCTTTCCTCAGTGGTGGCGTGGGGGGGGGGGGGGGGGGGGGGGGGGGGGGGGGGAGCCACTGCGGCAGGCTTTTCCACAGGCTTGCTCTCCTTCTTCCTTGTCCCATGCGCGGCCGCGGTGGCAGGGGCAGTAGCAGGAGGAAGCAGAAAAGCCAAGGTGGGAGCGGAAAGTGTGCGCCGCTCCCCTTCCTCTCTTGCCTCACGCGCACCTTCTTCAGCGGCGGAGGCAGGAAAGACACGCGAGGGAGAAGGGAAAGGTGCGTGCCTTTCTACTCCCATGCCCTGTGCGTGCCTTTACCGCCGCTGCCGAGGAAGGCGCACACGGGGCATGGGAGGAGAGAAAGGCGTGCACCTTTCCCTTCCAATTTACCTTTCCGAATGTATCTCCCTCTATGAACCATCTCAGAGTTTAAGATGGTCTGAGGAGGCCCTGCTCTTGATCCCGCCTACTTCACAGGCACAATTGGTGAGGACAAGAGACAGGGCCTTTTCAGTGGTGGCCCCCCAACTATTCCCTCCCCAGGAATATTAGATCAGCTCCCTCCCTCTTGACTTTCCATAAGAGAGTAAAAAGATGGCTCTGTGACCAAGCCTTTGGTGATTTTGTACAATAGATAGATATGGGATGACATTCAATCACCATAGGAATGGCCCGGATTACGGTTGTGGATTATGTGATCAAACTGTGCATGTATTGTTTTAAATGTTTAATTGTTTTAATGTGTTTTAATTTTATTTTAAATTCTTACTTTAATTGTACATTGTTTTAAGGCCTATGTGTAAAGCCGCCTTGAGTTCCCTCCGGGGTTGAGAAAGGCGGGGTAGAAATGTCGTAAATAAATAATAAATAAATCTATATAGGATGTTGAAAACCTAATACAATTTAGAGCAGGATAGTATTATGATAGATGACCAAAATTCTGACATAGCAATACATCTGTGGGTATAACAAACCTTCTATCATGGTTTTCTTTTCCAGGGGTCTCCAGGCTGATGGACCTACTAGCAGATTCTAGAGAGGTTATACGGAATGATGTAAGTATATAAAGAGAAACTTTTTAATTAAGTATAATCACGTGATTGAAAATTAAATGGCTTTGTAGAGTGCAAACTTACACCGCTATGTAGAAAAATGGCATTGGCTCTGTCATTAAGAATGTGGGCTAACTACAATCACTGGAGAACTTTATTAGGTAGCATGTTTGCAGAAGATACATTATTGTCATCCACACCCCTGAGTGATGCATTATGTAAGAAGGTTTTTAGTCCATTTTTCATTTAAACAGTTTCAAAGTAGTTTACAGGAAAAAAACAAGCTATAAATAGTCATAATCTAGAGCAATGATTTGACATTAGTATCCGTACTCACTGGGGTTAAGATCACGGGATAAGGAATCCAGGACGAGATATGAGCCAGCTATTCTACTGCAAAACATTTGGGGCACTTTATAGCATCCTGTAGTCTATTTAATTCTGGAGAAATACTTCTGTGCTCTTTCTACAGTTACCGATTTGATAGAATTGGGAACAGTAGAGGATGACACAGCATGGGGAGAATAGAATATGCAAAGTGTTACATGGCCCCAGCCATCTAAAACATATGCATACCCATGATGTCACCAAAGAAGAACACAGTCTCGCAACTCCCAGCAAAGGCTATAGTCGCCCTTCTCTGTCTTTATTATGTAGTATTGATATGCCAGAACGTCAGATAATATGGAGAGATTAAGGAAAAGCCTATTCAACCTGAGCAAAGGCAAGAGGGAGGGAACGGGGGCTCTTGACATCACTCCCAAACTCTGCCCACACATAACCCCCCCCCTTCCTTGCCTCCCACCTTGAGTGCCCACTTTCTTTCTTTCCCTCCCTCTTCCATAAAGCAAACATTTCTGTTGCTAGAGAGAGAGAGAGAGAAGCCAGGGCTACAGGAAGTGGGGGGGGGGGAGGCCTTTGTTTCCTTCCCTCTTCCATAAAGCAAATATTTCTGCTCGGGGGGGGGGGGGGGAGAAGGGCTGGGGCTGCAGAAAAGGTGGATGAGGCCTTCCCCCCCCCCCCCCCCATCTTCCATAATGCAAACATTTCCGCTGCTGGCGAGAAAGAGACAGAGATGAACCAGGACTTCAGGGAGGGGGATGAGGCGAGGATGGGTGCCGAGGTCAAGAGACAAGGCAGTGGGCAGCCTCGGTGAGGCTCCCCCTTTATCGACACGGAGGCTGCTTCCCCGAAGCCTTGTCCAGGTTGAATGCGAGGCCCCAGGGAGGAGAAAGACAGCAAAAAGGGAAATGGAGTCCGAATCAGGAGCCAGAGAAGGAAGAGTGGGAGGAAGGAAGGAAGGAAGAAGGAAGGAAGGAAGGAAGGAAGGAAGGAAGGAAGGAAGGAAGGAGGCCTTGTTGCCTTCCCAGAATAAGAAACTCCTAGCAATCTGTCCTTAAATGCACTTTATTAATGACCTAGGATTGTTTTTGCACGCCCATCACTTCCCGGAAATCCACCCTAATCATATTTTACCTGCCAAGTCCAGCATATTTTAAAATTTTAATTATTACATTTGGCCCAGCCATAAGTTTTCAAAAGGCCGTCGTGCTATTGCTAATGTTTATTTGCTGTTATGAGTTTTATTTACTGCTTGCATTGTTGTTGTTTTTGCTTGTTATTGCTGTGTTGTGGGCTCAGCCTCATGTAAGCCGCACCGAGTCCCTTGGGGAGATGGTAGCGGGGTACAAATAGAGTGTTATTTTTATTATTATATAATTCTCCGAGGAAGAGCCTTGTTTTTATTTTTCCAAGCCAAGCAACCAAGGCACGTCGGATACTATGGAATGTCATAATGGATAAGCGAGACTCTACTATATAATGCACTCTACATGGGGCTTCCTTTGAAGGGTATTTGGAAACTTCAGTTGATACAAAGAGCTGCAGACATATTGTTAATTAGAACTGACCACAGGAGCCTTGCTACAATAGCAGCCCTGGTTGCTGATCTGTTCCTGAGTACAATTGAAAATGATATTTATGACCAATAAAGCTAAAATAAAATACCTAACTGACCGCCTCTCGGCCTATGAGCCCACGAGGACTTTGAGATCTTCCGGGGAGGCCCTGCTCTCGATCCCGCCTGCCTCACAGGCACGGCTGGTGGGGACGAGAGATAGGGCCTCCTCGGTGGTGGCTCCTCGGCTGTGGAACACCCTTCCCGTGGACATCAGGCTAGCCCCCTCCCTGCTAACATTCCGCAGGAAGTTAAAGACCTGGCTATTTAAGAAGGCATTTGATCAAGAAGTGCAATGACTGGCAATTGACCATAGGAGTGGAACAACGGAAATGATTGTGGCTTGACGATGAGACGATTCGGAATGTAGTAGTAATTTTGTAGTAATGTTGTTTTGATAAGATGTTTTTATGACTATGATGAATTGTAGACTGTTTTGCACTATGCTTTGTAGATTGCACTTATTTTTCTTCATGTTGTACACCGCAGTGAGTCGCCCTTGGGGCTGAGAATTGTGGTATATACGCGCAGTAAATAAATACATAAATAATAAATAAAGCTGTATATGCCATGGATTCAGGCTATTTAACAGATGGATCATATGGCCTGGTTCCTGAGATACTCAGGAGAAACCCTTCTCTCAGTCTCATTTCTTTCATAGATGGGCATGTTGTGGTTATGAGAGGGTCTTCTCAGTGATTGCCCTTAAACTCCAAAGCTCCCTTCCTAGGGGCCCCTTTCCTTGCTGTCCTGTTGGCAAACAATGATTTATTTTAGTCTAGACATGGTTTTGAGAACAAAAGGTTACTAAAGAAAGGGATTTTAAGAGGTACTGTTTTAATGATACATGATGTTTCAAAAAGATGGACCTGATTTGAAAATGCTGTGTGTCTGCGACCACAAACTCTTATCACTTGAAAGGGTGGGTCATAGAATTTCAAATGATTACCAATAGATGCCTTTCCCAGTGCACAAACAACATATAGCCTCAGTCATTCACAAGATGGCACCCTCCCCCCCTGAGATATTCTCCATTTGCAGGGGTCTTTTTTAGATTTGTTTCTGGCTCAGAAGAATTAGTAAAAAAAATGGTAACTTGATAACTCATTAAACCCTTTGCAACTTTTTGTATAATTGTAACATGTTTACATTGTGAAATACATTGTTTTGAAATTGGACCCATCATTTTGAAATATCCTGTATCATTATAAACAGATTTTATTGTTTTATTCAAATGTTTTAATTTGTTATAAACTGTTATAATCTGTTAAAAGTTTTAATTATATTTTATGTTAGTTTGCAAACTGCCTTAAGTCCCTGTTTTGGAAAAAAAGGAGTGGTATAAAGTTTAAAATAGTAATGATCATGAGGCAGTTTGGGGAGAGAAATGGAAGATTACATGTGCCATTGTGCCTTGACTTCTCAAAGCTACACAATGAAGAAAGGATTGGCTCAGTATAGAGGTGGTCTCTGGTGGGAAAGTACTGCATAATTATATTGATGGGACATTCTGCTTTGCTAGAATTGAATGCGATATCTGCCTTAATAGAAGCCATCTAGCAAAATACTAACATTTGGACAGGTGGAGTAGACACACAAGAGGGAAATAATTCTATTTATGAAGACCTGAGATTCTCAGGAGTTTTTGAAATAGAAAGGGGTGAGTCTCTGAAATAGAAGGATGCACATACCATGGTTCTTCTATTATGCAGATAGATATGGACTAAAACCTTTCGTATTGTTGGATGGAAGTTTGTTGGTCAGTTTTGTCTGCCTTTTCTTCCATAGGGTGTGTTGTTACTTCAGCAGTTAACAAGAAGCAATGCAGCCATCCAGAAAATAGTTGCTTTTGAAAATGCCTTTGAGAGGTTGTTGGATATCATAACAGAGGAGGGAAACAGTGATGGAGGTATGCTCTTGCAAACTTTATTACCTTACAGCACTCATGAAATATTGGGTGGCAAACATAACCCTCTCTAGTTTCAGATATAAATTATGTCAAAATCCCAGTTAGTTCAACATAAGTTTGTAGTGGTTTCAGAAGGGGCTCTGAGTGTAGTTTAACCTCCAGAAGATGAAGGAAGAGAGGCCCACACTGTATTGTCGAAGGCTTTCATGACCGGAATCACTGGGTTGTTGTAGGTTTTTTCAGACTATAAGGCTAGGTCTAGAGCAGGGGTCCTCAAACTAAGGCCCGAGGGCCGAATACGGCCCTCCAAAGTCATTTACCTGGCTCTCGCTCAGGGTCAACCTAATTCTTGAAAGCACACAACAACAACAATCCTATCGCATCAGCCAAAAGCCGGCCCACACTTCTCATTGAAATACTAATAAGTTTATATTTGTTAAAATTGTTCTTCACTTTAATTATTATATTGTTTTAAAGTGTTTTTTGCACTACAAATAAAATATGTGCAGTATGCATAGGAATTCATTCATGTTTGTTTGTTTTTTCAAATTATAATCCGGCCCTCCAACTGGCCCTCTGTTTAAAAAGTTTGAGGACTCCTGGTCTAGAGGCATTCCCTCCTGACGTTTCGCCTGCATTTATGGCAAGCATCCTCAGAGACAGTGAGGTCTGTTGGAACTAGGAAAAAGGGTTTATATATCTGTGGAATAACCAGGGTGAGACAAAGGACTCTTGTCTGCTGGAGCTAGGTGTGAATGTTTCAACTGCCCACCTTGATTAGCATACAATGGCCTGACTGTGCCTGGAGAAAATCCAACAAATGCTACGTTCAGCAAAGGACAAGAGGGATCCTCTCACTTCTGCAGGAGTCTACCGTGTACCATGCAGCTGTGGACAAGTCTACATAGGGACCACCAAACGCAGCATTGCCCAAACATGAATCAAGGAACACGAAAGGCACTGCAGACTACTTCAACCAGAGAAATCAGCCATAGCAGAGCACCTGATGAACTAACCTGGACACAGCATTTTATTTGAGAACACAGAAATGCTGGACCACTCTCACAACCACCATGTCAGACTACACAGAGAAGCCATTGAAATACACAAGCATGTGGACAATTTCAACAGAAAGGAGAAAACAATGAAAATGAACAAAATCTGACTACCAGTATTAAAAAAAACTCTAAAATTGCAACAGCACAACAACAGAGAGGAAGCAGGCAGGGACATCTAATCACCTCTCAACAAACGTTTGCTCCAGGCACAGTCAGGCCATTGTATGCTAATCAAGGTGGGCAGTTGAAACATTCACACCTAGCTCCAGCAAACAAGAGTCCTTTGTCTCACCCTGGTTATTCCACAGATATATAAACCCTTTTTCCTAATTCCAACAGACCTCACTACCTCTGAGGATGCTTGCCATAGATGCAGGCGAAACATCAGGAGAGAATGCCTCTAGACCATGGCCATATAGCCCAAAAAAACCTACAACAACCCAGAGGCCCACACTGCTTTAATAAAGTGAGCAGTTTGCATCATTAGGTCTGCACTGCAGTGTTTATGAAATCACTAGAATACAATAACATTTGAAATAAATAGGCTGCATTGGATCTGGGTATGTTAGTATATAGCTTGCAGTATTTCTAAATAATATCTTTTAGACCTTAGACCAGGGGTCCTCAAACTAAGGCCCGGGAGCCAGGTACGGCCCTCCAAGGTCATTTACCCGGCCCTCACTCAGGGCCAACCTAAGTCTGAAATGACTTGAAAGCACACAACAACAACAATCCTATCTCACCAGCCAAAAGCAGGTCCACACTTCCCATTGAAATACTAATAAGTTTATATTTGTTAAAATTGTTTTAAAGTGCACTACAAATAAGATATGTCCAGTGTGCATAGGAATTCATTCATTTATTTTTTTCAAAATTATAATCTGGCCCTCCCAACAGTTGGAGGGACTGTGACCTGGCCCTCTATTTAAAAGGTTTGAGGACCCCTGCCTTAGACAGTTATTTGTGTTATATCAGTTATTTTGCCATAGCAGAAACATATTACTCTACATTACTCCCTCAGCTTTCTCTTTCTTTCTTTTTTAAAAATTACATGTGTGTTATGTTATTAAAATATGCTGTCTTGGAGTGATTATATAATTTTGACTGCTGAAACAAGTGTCCACCAACCCTTCTGTCTTTGCAGGCATTGTTGTGGAAGACTGCCTTCTTTTACTACAAAATTTGTTGAAGAACAACAATTCAAATCAGAATTTCTTTAAGGAAGGGTCCTATATTCAACGTATGAAGCCATGGTTTGAAGTTAGCGATGACAATGCTGGATGGTCAGCACAGAAAGTAACCAATCTGCATCTCATGCTGCAGGTAACTGCTTGTGTTAGAAAGCAAACAGAGCTGGTTAGCACCAGTATATTAACTCCTGTGAATGTATTTTTTTAAATAGTTTTTATTGGTTTATAGTAAAGGTACATGGAAAGTGGGGGAATATTTCAAAGAAGATAGAAAAGTTGGAAAGAAAGTATGTGATCTTAACTTCTGTGTATTAATTAAACAAACCCCAAAAACAAAAATCAAAATCGAGAAATAGAAAAAAAAATAAGAAGAAAAACACACACCACGTCTTTACAGTCCCATCTGTGCAGGGGAGTGAAAAAGAACAGAAAAAAAAGAAGAAAAAGAGAAAAAATTCTTTGTGGGCTTCCTTCTATTCATCGAAGATCTTTCGATTATTGGCGCATAAAAAAAATGTCCAATGTTCGCTTCCTTGCTTTGTTACTTATTATGTTCCAAATTTTTTCCCATTGTTTCAAATTTATTTGATGGCCTATGTTCTGAGCCCATTTGATCATGGATTCTTTTATCAATTCTGTTTCTGTTGCCCATTCCAAACGTTTTTTGTAATTTTTTGTAATTAGTTTATTATTTGTCTTCATAATATTGTCCCCAAAATTTTCTTTGTCCGCAAAATTTATTTTCTTGTCTGTATTGTAGCAATCAATCAATTGTCTATAACAGCAATGATAGATTAGCAAAATTTTCTTTCACTTCTTTTTACTGTTTGAGCTCGTAATTCTCTCTTACTTTCCTTAAAACATCTCTATATTTAGGCCAGAGTTCCCAGCCCAACTCTCTTCGATGGAATGCTTCAAGTGGTGAAATCCAAAGTGGGGTGTTACTATATAATCTTTTCTTATATCTTTCCCAGATCTTAATAAGTCCTGCTCTTATATAATGGTTATTTTTAAAAAATCTATCTTAATTTTGTCGTATCACAAATAGGCATGCCATCACCGTTTTAGATCTGCGCCTTCTGATGTTAGTAAATTGCTCTTTTCTAGGGTAGACCAGTCCTTTATCCAAGTGAGACCACAAGCTTCATAGTATGTTCTTAAATCAGGAAGGCCAAAACCACCTCTTTTTTTCTCATCAATTAATATCAGGCACTTTATCCTTGGTTTTTTCCCTTGCCAAATAAATTTCGCAATATCTGAGTTCCATTTGTTGAAAATACTAACGTTCCAAATTATTGGCAGGGATTGAAATAGGAATAGCATTTTTGGTAGAATGCTCATTTTAACCGAGGTTCTGCCTAATAAGGATAATTTCAAATTCTTCCAATTATCTAAATTTTTCTTTATTTCCTTCCATTTTTGTTCATAATTGTTTTTCAATAATTGAGAGTTTTTAGCTGTTAGTGTAAGTACTCGGTAGGTATTGTATTTTCTCCATTATTTGGAATTCCGTTAACTTTGCTAATCTGTGAATGTATTTTGAATTCACTAGATTTTTTTATCTTAAGTCAAATATCAAAAAGTGTTCCCATTAGCATTTTAACACTCATATATGATGTTTATTTTCCGTTCCAGCTGGTTCGAGTGTTGGTGTCTCCCACAAATCCCCCTGGTGCCACCAGCAGTTGTCAAAAAGCCATGTTTCATTGTGGGTTGCTTCAACAGCTTTGTACAATCCTGATGGCCACTGGGGTTCCTGCTGACATTCTTACTGAGGTAACAGAGCACCGTGAAAGAGAAAGTTATATACAGAGGGGGAGTCGTGGAGCACAGGAAAGTTTTCATTAAATTCCTGACTTGAAACTCAGCGTTTGAGGTGATGCCACTGAACAGCTTTGCTTTTGACTCCATGTGCAGTAGTACCATGCAGTTCTACCTGCAATGTGAGTGTCATACATGCAAGGCATCAAAAATGATGAATAGCTCTGATCAAACTCATATACATTTATCTTCAGCAGATAAATAAGGAGCCCCCGGTGGCGCAGTGGGTTAAACCCCTGTGCCGTCAGGACTGAAGACCGACAGGTCGCAGGTTCAAATCCGGGGAGAGGCGGATGAGCTCCCTCTATCGGCTCCAGCTCCTCATGTGGGGACATGAGAGAAGCCTCCCACAAGGATGATAAAAACATCAAATCATCCGGGCGTCCCCTGGGAAACGTCCTTGCAGACGGCCAATTCTCTCACACCAGAAGCGACTTGCAGTTTCTCAAGTCGCTCCTTACATGACAAAAAAAAAAAAAAGCAGATAAACAACCACACGTTCAATACTGTAAAGTGTAACTGAGAATCAATATTTTTTCTTGCTTCTCCTTGTCTTGAGAATTGGCAAATAAGAAAATCCTTTTCTGTTTAAAAAATGTTTTGCATAGCTGTTTGCTGTTGGGAGCCAAGATTATTGTACTACTAGGCTAAATCACATACCCTATTGGATTTAATGTGGCCTATTTTGTTGGACCTAAGTAAAATCCTTTCCTTTAGGTAAGACTAGATTGTGTATTCTAGTCTTACCTAAATCAGAAGACGCTTACTTCTTGGGAGGAGAGCAATGTCCAGTCTCGACAAAATAGTAAAGAGTAGAGACATCAGACTGGCAACAAAGATCCGCCTAGTCAAAGCCATGGTATTCCCTGTAGTAACCTACGGATGTGAGAGCTGGACCTTAGGGAAGGCTGAGCGAAGGAAGATCGATGCTTTTGAACTGTGGTGTTGGAGGAGGGTTCTGAGAGTGCCTTGGACTGCGAGAAGATCCAACCAGGAAATAAAGCCTGACTGCTCATTGGAGGGAAGGATACTAGAGACAAAGTTGAAGTACTTTGGCCACATCATGAGGAGACAGCAAAGCCTAGAGAAGACAATTATGCTGGGGAAAGTGGAAGGTAAAAGGAAGAGGGGACGACCAAGGGCAAGATGGATGGATGGCATCCTTGAAGTGACTGGATTGACCTTGAAGAAGCTGGGGGTGGTGAGAGCCGACAGGGAGCTCTGGCATGGCTGGTCCATGAGGTCATGAAGAGTCAGAAGCGCCTGAACAAATAAACAACAACAACATAGATTGTGTATTGCCTTTTCGTATTTCCTTTAAAATATTTTTATTATGTTTTATTAAAGATAAATTTAAGACCCACTTCTCATAACTTCCCCCATCCGTGTAACCTCACCCTTCGAAAATACAACTAAAAAATACATGAACGATGTTAAAAACACAGTTGACTTCTCTCCCCACTCCCCCAAGCCAAGGCATCAAAATATTATAATGTACTTCTATTCTAATTGCTTTAACTTCTGCTAAATATAAACAAATTTAGTTAAAATTAATACCGTCTCACAAGTGATATTAATACAATCTAAATCAGTTCTTATAATATCACTATTTATTTTCCATTTCAGTGTCTACTTATTTTTTCCTTTTTATCTGGATGGTTCTTACTGTATTTCAGCCATTTTCCTTGTTCAAAATGTTTATTTTTTTTGTTTATATAGGCATTTAATGTTTGCCTGTTACTATGTTGGAAACTGCCCAGAGTCCCTATTATTATAAAGTTATTGTTGATACCATATTCTTTTTGTTGATCCTCCTTTTCCACTTACATATTTTCATATACAATTTTTCATATACAATTTCCAATATTTTCCATATTTCTAATCCTTCAATTTTTGTGGATCTGTGTCATTTTACTTTTTAGACTATTAACACTGTGTCAGAGGTAATTCGAGGGTGTCAGATAAACCAAGACTACTTTGCTTCAGTAAATGCACCTTCAAACCCACCAAGGTACGGTAAGGAAAAACCTTGATGTCTTTTACTGTAAATATTAATATGTGAAATAGTAAGATATTTGCATGTGGAATTTCCCTGGTAGGAACTTTCATGACCCCCCCCCCCCCCCGAAATACTGTGTGGCTCCTTTCTAGAAGAAATAAACCTCGTAGTTAATACAAGGATCTCAGATCAAATAGTCTATTGCCAACTAGCAACAGTTATTAGAAACAGTAACATTGTTTTCTTTTTCATTCACTAATGGTATTACTGATATTTTTATCTATGCTCCTATAATAGTTATGGGGTGGAACATGAAAAGCCAAAAGGAGTAAAGATATTAGTTAACAGGTCAGTTCAGAGTAGGGAAGCAAGGGTTCATAGAGTTTCTAGTAGCATCCTGCTAGAGCAGTGGTTCTCAACCTGGGGTCCCCAGATGTTTTTGGCCTACAATTCCCAGAAATCCCAGCCACTTCACCAGCTATTAGGATTTCTGGGAGTTGGAGGCCAAAAACATCTGGGGACCCCAGGTTGAGAACCACTGTGCTAGAGGAACACAGGGTTGGAGGATATATTTACTCTTCAGTATTGAAAATTTCACTCCTTGGAACAAAATTAGTATACACACATGTATATATGCCTATTTGAAAAAAATAATAGATTGCTTTCTTTCCAACTTGACAGGCCTGCAATTGTGGTATTGCTTATGTCAATGGTAAATGAACGGCAACCATTTGTGCTACGTTGTGCCGTCCTTTACTGTTTTCAGTGTTTTTTGTATAAGAACCAGAAGGGACAAGGAGAAATCGTCTCAACACTTCTGCCTTCAACTATTGACGGTATAGAATTTTACATGAACGTTTAAATAAATATGTGACATTTGCCTGAAACTTTGCAAACTGTGGACACTAAAATAATAATAATAATAATAATAATACTTTATTTATATACCGCTCCATCTCCCCGAGGGGACTCAGGTAACATCTCCCAGGTAACATCACAAAACATACAAAGTAAAAAACAACATAACCATAAGATTAACAAAACAAAATATAAGCATATTATTAAATCTCATTGAATTCATTCAGGTTTAAAAAGACATCTTGGAACACTTTATTGATGGGTTTCGGTCAGTTATATAGAACAAATTGAAGCCTTTGAATTTCAAGACCATAACATTTATTTATTTATTTACATTATTTCTATCCCGCCCATTTCAGCCCGAAGGCGACTCAGGGCGGTATATAAACTTGGGAAGGAGGGTTAAATTTCTGAGCAGTACAGTTGCTGGGGGAGAAATCAACAGATCACAGCCATATCTGAATTTCTGGAAATATGGTTTGTCATCTTTGTATTTAAATCAGTGGTGTCAAACTTGCCCTCCTGGTGTTTTGGAGTTTATCTCCCAGAATTCCTGGCCATTGGACAAGCTGGCTAAAGCTTCTGGATGTTGGAGACCCAAACATCTGGAGGGCCATAAGTTGGATTTTAGCCCTGATTTAAGTGGTCCAGTTGTTAGGGTGCTCTCTTAAAAATGTCTTTCACTAACATGCATAGTTTCAGAAACATAGCATTTCCAAACATGTGCAGCATGTCTGAAAGCAACCTGATGCCATTTTTAACACTATGTGTGAGGTAGGATTTTTGTTCACATTTTGATGTCACTACATTTTGTGTCTGGTATTACAGCAACAGGAAATTCTGTCTCAGCTGGCCAGCTACTGTGTGGAGGACTCTTTTCTACAGATTCACTCTCAAATTGGTGTGCAGCTGTGGCATTGGCTCATGCTTTACAAGAAAATGCCACTTTGAAAGAACAGCTACTAAGAGTCCAGCTTGCAACAAGTATTGGTAATCCTCCAGTGTCCTTACTCCAGCAATGCACCAACATTCTTTCTCAGGTATGACATTAGCATCTTTCTGTTTATGCGTAAAAGGGTTAAGATAAAAAAATACCAGTACTTTTATATCAAGACATTTTTTTTCATTAGTAGTTAGAAAGCTGTTTCTTAATTATGTAACGTCATATTTTGTAGAAGTTGAAATAGAATTAAATGTTGTTCCTCTCTAGTGTGTATTATCTCTCCACCCCCCCGTCAAAATGAATTCTATTAAATTCCAACCAGTACATGTGGTATACCTCATATTTGGTTTTTGTGTGCCTTTGAGTAGTTTCTGACTTATGGCTACCCTAGGGTGTTTTTGGCAAGATTTGTTCAGAGGGTGTTTACTTTTGCCTTCCTTTGAAACTGTGAGAGTGTGACTTGCCCAACAACAACAACAGAAACACTTTATTTATATACCGCTCTATCTCCCCGAGGGGACTCAGAGCAGTTTCCAAGTAACATCATCAATACATACTAAGAATACAGCATAAACATAAAATTAACAAGACAATATAAACATAACAAATCACAATAGCACATATATATCTAAAATAATCTTTCCTGCCAAGAGAATTTAAAAATCCGGGCCAAATCCCTACGCAGTCACCCATGGCTGAGTAGGGATTTTGTTTCCCAAGTTGTAATCCAGCATTCAAATGCTCAAACCATTACACCACACTGGCTCTTATAATTGAGTTTAGGATGAGTAAAATCAGTGTATTGTCAAAGGCTTTCATGGCCGGAATCACAGGGTTGTTGTAGGTTTTCTCGGGCTGTATGGCCATGGTCTAGAGGTCCTCAAACTAAGGCCCAGGGGCCGGATGCGGCCCTCCAAGGTCATTTACCCGGCCCTTGCCGAGGGTCAACTTAAGTCTGAAATGACTTGAAAGCACACAACAACTACAACAATCCTATTTCATCAGCAAAAAGTAGGCCCACACTTCCCATTGAAATACTAATATGTTTTTAATTGTTCTTCATTTTAATTATTGTATTGTTTTAAGTGTCTTTTGCACTACAAATAAGATATGTGCAGTGTGCATAGGAATTCATTCATGTTTTTTTCAAATTACGTATAATCCAGCCCTCCAACAGTTTGAAAGATCTCTGTTTAAAAAGTTTGAGGACCCCTGGTCTAGAGGCATTCTCTCCTGACGTTTCACCTGCATCTATGGCAAGCATCCTCAGACCTCACTACCTCTGAGGATGCTTGCCATAGATGCAGGCGAAACGTCAGGAGAGAATGCCTCTAGAACATGGCCATATAGCCCGAAAAAACCTACAACAACCCACTGTAAAATCAGTATTTTATTGATTACACAATATAAAACGATTTTCTTCCTCAGTTATAAGTATCATTTCCTAATTGGTTCTGTCATAAAAACATGGAAAAATTTATTAAACTGGAAAAAACTTTGTTTTTTCTTGACATCCCGCAGCACATTTTATTATAGTTTTTCAATGAATATATAATGGAGTCTCAACCAATTCAACATAATTTGTGGCAGCCATAAAACTGAAAGTTCTAGGGTCACTTTCAAAGTTAAAACAATCACTTTCAAAGTTAAAACCACACAATTAAACAGGAAATAACACTTTCAAGCCAGGAACAGGAAAAAAAAAACAAATTTTGTTGTCATGTACACATGAAGAACAATGTATTAGAAGGTACTAAAATGCATAAGTAGTCAAGCTTATATCCACATCTAACAGAATTGGAAGTATAAACCTGTATGAAAACATGAAGGAATATGCAGGAAAAGCATATGACTTGTTTGCCTACAAGCAGAAGAGTGGTAACTATCTGTCTTTTAGAAAAAGAGTGCCAAATAGAAATCCTGCATTAATTTGACTGTCAGTTATTAAGCAGATGAAGATAATCATGCTTGTCTTCTTTCTGTTGTGTTCCTGCAACTTCGTACAGAAGGTATCTGCGTTCCTTTGTGACCTTCAAACTGACTTTCAGTGTTCTGTCAGATTTCAGAAACTGTTTTCTAATCTGTTATTTAATAACTGCTTCACTGGGGAGCTGTGTTCCCCCTTTCCAGGGCCCTTGTGCCCTGCTTTGTGACTGTATTAAAGTTTTGTATTTCTTAATCTAAAATCTGTTTTTAGATTTTAGATTAAGAAAAGTTGTCACCTTTCACCACTCTTTTAATCGAAAGGTTTGGATGCTTTTGATAAGAGATAAGATACACAACACATATTGACCTGTGGATAGGGTGACTCGAGGTTTTTGACTTTGTTTTGACTGAAATTTCTAGACTTATACATGAGTACATACAGTAATTGTCAAAGTTCTGCCTAGTTTCCTGTGGGATTGTATAGCCGGAGACTGCAAGCATATCGTTGTTAATAAGACAGGGTTGGGGGGGGGGGGGTCAAAAGAGCAGGCACTAAGACACATTGTAGTGAACCAAACAATTTTGTCTAATAGATTAATCATTCCATGTCATATGTTTTATATATATCATGCAAAAGTTTGTTCTGCATAGAGATCATGTTCCACAGAATAGATTATGTTCCACAGAATAACCAGTACTTACATAACATTTCCACACTTCGGTGTGAATAATCTCAAGGCATCACTTCAACAGATTTTTTTAAAAAAAACTAAGCCCTTTATTGTACTAATATATAATAAACCTGCAACATTCCCTTATCATTTTTGGTGTATGATTTACAGGGTGATAAGATCGACAGACGGGTATGTATTGGTGCACCTGAAGCATTTTTTTTGGTCCCAGCAGGGTCTTTCTGCTTTTTTAACTTTTGCTGTGTGTTTTATGAAATAACTGCTTTGAAGTTTTTTCTACTTAACTGTTCTGTGCCTGCTGTCCAGTTTTATTCCTAATAACAACCTATCTTGTTTCTTCTGGTGTTTGTGGAAGTGGTGGTATGGGAAACTTGGTTGTTATGGGTCCTTTTTTCTTTCCACTCGGAAAGCCCTTGCACAGCCGCTGGGCACTGAATGTGGTGGATCTTTTTTCTTTTCTCAGTGTGGATTTAATGTCACATTTGGGTGAAGTTAAGATGTTAAGTCTTTGGGAGAGAAATGCAGTGGTATATATAGTTTTCTCCTTCAGACATTTGTATTAAATGATACATAATTAATATTTTATGCTGATTGTGCCAAGAAGCATACATGCAAGATCATGGGTACACTTTGAATCTTAAGACTGGTATGGTTTAGAGGTGGATTTAAAAGGAGCAAGCCATGTCAAGTTTTATTTGCATCAAGCTGGTGGCCATTGCAGTTATATGTTGCACCACAGAGTAGAGTCACCTTGCCCAAAACACCAAACCACACCAAGGCTGAAGGTTTTGTAGTTTATTGAAGAAAAGAACAGTCTTAAATGCAAAGGTAAAGTTCCAAGAGTTCAATAGCAAACAACATGAAGCATAATCCAAAAGGCATTGTTGAAACAAGATTCCATGGCAGCATGACAGTCCCAAGAAGCCAAGCACATTTCCCAAAAGCCCAGGCAATCCAGGGAAGTTACTAGGTTAAACACAGAAGTTGCACTGACAAAGATTTGTCTTCAAACACCCCGTTTAATATACTTTCCCAGCATGAACGCATTCCGTTGACCCCTAACCTCCCTCTTGTTAGCAAGCCTTCCACTGCGGCGAACTTTGAATTGTAAGTGATCCTCCCTATCTAGATCTTCAGAGCTCTCAAGGTCGGATAGCTTGTTAGGCTCAGGCTGGGAGCCATCCTCCTCCAACTGCACCTGGCTACTTTCACTAACATCAGAAACATCATCTGAAACATTCCTTGCCATTGGAAACTGAAACTCCTCATTTTCTTCAGAAACAACAGGAACATCTTCATGAATCTGAATCTCATCATCTTCTACCTGAGGCTCCAGCTGAGCCACAACATTATAGTAGAAACAGTGTTGTGAAGGTTTTTATAATTAAGCCAAGACCACTCTTTACTTTCAGTTAGTCACATCTATCTATCTATCTGTCTGTCTGTCTGTCTGTCTGTCTGTCTATCTATCTATCTATCTATCTATCTATCTATCTATCTATCTAATGTTAGCACAACTTTATAGCAGTCACTTCTCGAGAATATTGTAATTGGTTAAGAGAGCAGAAGCCTTACCATGGAAAATACATTACAAAATCTGGCTACCAGTATTAAAAAACTCAAAAATTACAACAGCAAAACAACAGAGAGTAAACAATCAGGCACATCAAATCACTCTCAACAAAAGATTCCCCCCAGGCACATCCAAGCCATTAAATGCTAATCAAGGTGGTCAGTTGAAACATTCACACCTAGCTCCAGCAGACAAAAGTCCTTTGTCCCACCCTGGTCATTCCACAGATATATAAACCCCTTTTCCTAGTTCCAACAGACCTCACTACCTCTGAGGATGCTTGCCATAGATGTAGGCGAAACGTCAGGAGAAAATGCCTCCAGAACATGGCCATATAGCCCAGAAAAACCTACAACAATCCAAATACATTACTGTTTTCAATTATTTTTAAAAAATGGAAACAAGCTTTTCTGAGAACATATGTTTGTATATGGGTGGGTATATTTGTCGTGTTTTTCCCCCTCCCCAAATACTTCACAAAATTAAAAAAAAACAATCCTTATAAGAACAAACCAGAAACATCCACTGAAGCTTAAAAACATGGGGGGGGGGGGGGTGGGGGAGCTCTGCTATGAATTAGGGATGATTTTCATTGGGTTGTAGTTGTGGAGGGAAAAGTCAAACTTCCATGCCCTGTAGGTCCTTACCCTGGAATTACATTTTTTAAACATAGGCATGCTTATTTTAACTGTGTGATTAGCAAGACTTGGTTTGGCTTTCAAATGATGTTGCCTTTTTGGTATGTAATTATTTTATTGACTGAAAAACTTGTGTAACAACTGGTTGCCTTCTACCATAATTTGGCATTTTACTTTTTTGGGAAAGTTTGGGAAATATTTCAAAGTAGCAAACGTGTGAAGGAATCAGAAGACTGGGTAATACAAGTGATGTTTTGTTTCTTTCCTTATTTTTTTCTCTCTCCAGGGAAGCAAAGTGCAGACAAGAGTTGGATTATTAATGCTGCTTTGTACTTGGCTCAGCAACTGCCCTATTGCTGTAACACACTTTCTCCACAATTCAGCCAATATTCCTTTTGTATCCTTTCAAATCCAGTCAGTGCTGCCATTAATAAATAAGGTTCTTTAAGACCACAATTTATGTATGTCAACCAAAGAGGAGGGTCCTCACTTTGTGGATCAAACAGTAATGTTTCAGTATAATTACATTGCCATTTCCTTTAATGGCAATGCAATGTACATAGGTACCTGAATAAATATATGTATTGTCAAAACTTGTTTTCATTTCACCGATAATAATATGTATTATGAAAAACCCCATCCGAAAAATATTATTTCTCTCCCATTGATGAACATATATGCAGCACTATTTAAGGAAGTGTTGACAAATGTAGGCCTTGGTGTGTTAATAAACCAATGAAATTCTCATTGTGCCCTTCTTGGTTTGATATCATGTTGTAACTTTCTAGAACAGTGGTTCTCAACCTTCCTAATGCCGCGACCCCTTAGTACAGGTCCTCATGTTGTGGTGACCCCCAACCATAACGTTATTTTCGTTGCTACTTCATAACTGTAATTTTGCTACTGTTAAGAGTCATAATGTAAATATGCAGGATGTATTTTCATTCACTGGACCAAATTTAGCACAAATACCTGATACGCCCAAAATTTGAATACTGGTGGAATTGGGGGTGATCGATTTTGTCATTTGGTAATGCTGGAGTTGCTGGGATTTATAGTTCACCTTAAATCAAAGAGCTTCTGAACTCCATCAATGATGGAATTGAATCAAACATGGCACACAGAATTCCCATGACCAAGAGAAAATACTGGGAAGGTCTGGTGGACATTGACCTTGAGTTTTTGGAGTTGTAGTTCACCTACATCCAAAGAACACTGTGGACTCAAGCAATGATGGATCTGGATCAAACTTGGCACAAATACTCAATATTCCCAAATGTGAACACTGGTAGAGTTTGGAGAAAATAGACCTTGCCATTTGGGAGTTGTAGTTATTGGGATTTATAGTTCACCCACAATGAAATAGCATTCTGAACCCCACCAACGATAGAATTGGACCAAACTTTCCACACAGAACCCCCATGACCAACAGAAAATACTATGTTTTCTGATGGTCTTTGGTGACCCCTCTGACACCCCCTCGCGACCCCCACAGGGGTCCCAACCCGCAGGTTGAGAAACACTGTTCTAGAAAAACAGTATTTCATGCAACAGTTCAATACAAGTTTCTACTAACATTATTCAGGATATTCAGACAGCACTCCACCTAAAAACATTATATGAGATGGCTTTCCACCATCCATGACTTGTAAATATTTTTTAAATTAAAAAAGCTTGATTTTTTTATTTCTTTCTGACTTTCATATCCCACACTGCAGATGAGCACACCTGCCTTCCTTCAAAGCCTTAAATGTGCTTTTTAAGCTGTCCTAAATACACATATTGATTGTTTTACATTTTACTGGCTATGTTTAGGGCATATAATAAATGCTTGAATATTTGATTTATGTTTACCTAATTAATTTAATACAAATGATTCATTAAAATAGAATAAATTGTTTTTATGAATGAGGCGCATTCTCTCCAGGAAGTGTCTAAATAGCCTTAACAGAGGATCCAGCTAACAGGACAAATAGCCGAAAACCTTGGAGAAGAGGAGCAATTAGTCCAAGGACTGTGTGCTCTTTTATTAGGAATTTCTATTTATTACAATGACAATTCACTTGAGAATTACAAAAAGTGAGTATATTGGGAAATAATGTAATGCTAAAGTATCCTCCTTTAATATACCTTCAAAAGCAATGAATAAAAAACAGATGGACCTCACAATAAAGCTTAGCGGGTGGGGGTGATACTGAAGCATTTGATGAAATTAAATGGTTGAAACTATAATGAAATGCATTGAAATGCCAGGCCATAGTTCGTCTTCCAGAGTTGTATGGCTTTCTGTTGAGGCTCAGAACTGAAGTGAAAACCCCCACATAACTAATCATTCTTTTTAAACTACTCTTCCCTCATTATTTCCAAATGCCTAACTTAACTTGATCCGTTTCATTTGCTGTATTCTGCGGAAACTGTTGTCACTGAAAAATTCAAAATATAGATAGGTGATATATCAGGCCAATCAAACAGCTAAAATATTATATTCAATGATTTTGATGTTAGGGGGAAAATAATGTTTTTGCTAGAGAATCTGAAGATATCTTCATTATGCTTTATTCTCTGAATTGCCTTTGCTATCGCATGCTATTACATTTTACTTCTCCATTCTTTCAATCATTATATCTTTGTTCTTAGATGTTTTTCTTTCTATCCATCAAATTAGATGTATTAGTTAATTGGAGTCCATAGATTTCACGCTGTTGTCTGTTACTTAAGTGCTATGTTTTCTCCTTTAGGGAGAAATTAAAGCAACTGATAGAAAAGAGGATTGGCAAAGAAAACTTTATTGAGAAATTGGGATTTATTAGCAAACATGAATTCTATTCCCGAGCGGCTCAGAAACCTCAACCAAGCTTTTCTAGTCCAGACCATATGATGTTCGATCATGAATTTACTAAATTAGTGAAAGAGTTGGAAGGTAAGATATGTTATCATATTTCTGCTTTTGGACAAGAAATATTATGTCTTAAGGTAATTAGAAGTTCTGTTCATAATGAATGTCAAGTTAAATGAACATCAGCATCAATTTAAGTTTTTCCTGAATGTACTTCCATGCTAAGACTTGCTATGAACCTGGAACAGATTGTTCTAGTACAGAAGCTACTATAGATTTATTAGGTTATCTGTTATTAGAGTGATTTGTTGTTTAAAATTTGAGGGGGCAATTCTGTGCAGTTAAAATTATAATTATATATTTACATATTATAATTATAATTATATATTTACATTACATGTAGTATTACTAATAATATTACAATATAATGGTATAGTGCAATATAGTAATATATAATACAGATATTGTACTATGCTAATAATATAATATATTGTATGAAAATATATATTGTAAGCTGCTCTGAGTCCCCTTTGGGGTGAGAAGGGCGGCATATAAATGCAGTAAATAAATTAATTAATTAATTAAAAGGGGGAGGTTGGAGTTCAGATGGGTCAGAACATGAAGAGACATAATTGTGCCAATTTCTATTTATTTATTTATTTACTTTATTTGTATACCGCTGTTCTCAGCCCGTAGGCGACTCACAGCGGTTAACAACAAGAACAAGAACAGCAAAAATTCAATGTGGCAATAATACAGTATAAAAACAATTGACAATTTCTAGTTATATGAGTGTGTTTCTGCTTATCTTCTGACCAAATATGAACCACCACAGAGATTAAGATCTTCTGGGGAGGCCCTGCTCTCGGTCCCACCACCATGACAGGTGCATTTGGCAGGGACGAGAGACAGGGCCTTCTCAGTAATTGCTCCTTGACTATGGAACTCCCTTCCTAATGAGATCAGGTCAGCCCCATCCCTCTTATCCTTTAGAAGGATGATAAAAACGTGGCTGTGGGACCAAATCTTTGGGACTATGCAATAAGGCAGCGATAGGAACCCTTAGTATGCCAACCAAATTCGATATGGTTGCTGAGACAGTTTTAACTAGTGGATTTTAACGTCGAGATATGTGATTTTAATGCTTTTGTATGTGTATGGTATAATACGTTTCGGCATTGAATGTTTGCAGTTTATATGTTGTGCTTCGCCCTGAGTCCCCTTCGGGGTGAGAAGGGCGGAATATAAATGCTTTAAATAAATAAATAAATAAATAAATAAATACTTAAAGTGAAGTGGCCAATTTATTTGGTCACATAAAACTAAGCATCATATCTGCAGAAAATATTGAAGTTGATTGATAAACCATCTGTGTATTAAAATAAAATAAAGCAGGACCTGTGTGCATGCATATGTTCTATCTTTATAAATAAAAAAGTAATGTTCGTTTGTGATACCATCAGAACTCAGAAACCACTGGGGCAATTGACACCAAATTTGGATACTATGTCCCTAACAACCCAATGTATGTTCTCCACTCAAAAAAACAAGGGAAACAAAAAGCAGAAAGGGCTTCTAAACTGCATGTCCATAAAGGGGAAACTGCATGTCTACAGAAACCCATGGCCACTCCCCCCCTCCTCCTCGCGGGGAAACAGCCGTCCGTTAAAGCCAGGCGCACGTGCACAGACACACACACACACACAAGCAAGTGGAGTGGAGGTGGAGGCTCGCCACATGCAGCCCCTTCTCTTTCCCTCCTATGTGAGGAGAGCCATCTCCTGTCCCTCCTTCCTTCCTTTTTCCCTCCTTCCTTCCCCCCTCCCTTCCTCCCTCCCTTCCTGCCCTCCTTCTTCTTTTTCCTTCCTTCCTGTCCCTCCTTCCTTCCCTTTTCCTTCCTTCCTGTCCCTCCTTCCTTCTTCCTTTCCTTCTTTTCCTCCCTCCCTTTCCTCCTTCTTTCCCTTTCTTCATTTCCTTCCCCTTCATTTCCTTCCCTCCCTCCTTTCTTCATCCCCCTCCTTCCTCCTTCCTCCTTCCTTCCTTCTCTTCCTCCCTCCTTCCTGCCCTTTCTTCTTTTTCCTCCTTCCCTTCTTTCCCTCCCTCCCTTCCTTTCTTCCTTCCTGTCCCTCTTCCTTCTTCTTTTTCCCTCCTCTCCTCCTTTCCTCCTTCCTTTCCCTTTCTTTTCCTTCCTTCTCCTTCCCCCCTCCTTCATCCCCCCCCTTCTTTCCTTCCTTCCTGTCCCTCCTTCCTTCCTTCTTCCTTTCCTTCTTTCTAAGATATAAATACAATATTAAATGGAAGGGACAGTCAAGAAGTAACGAGAGAAGGAGGGAAAAAGGGAAGGAAGGAAGAGAGAAGCAGGGAGGGAAAGAAGGAAAGAAAGAAAGATAGAGAAGCAAGAAAGGAGAGAAGGAAATAAAAAAGTGAAAGGAAAAAGAGGGAAGGAAGGAGAAAAGGAACAAAAGATAGGGAAGGAGGGAAGGAAGGATGTAACCAAAGAGCAAAGAAAGGGAGGAAAGAAACAGGTAGAGATGGAAGAAAGATGAGAGATAGGGAAAGATAAAGAGGAAAGGAAGGAAAGAGGGAAGGAAGGCCAGAAAGAGGGAGGGAAGGTTGGCCACAGCAACGTGTGGCGGGTACAGCTAGTAAGTAATAAAATGACATATTTCAGAGGAAGGAAACAAAGAGAATGAAAGTGAATTTTAATAAGACAAGTTGAGCAGTCGTGCTTTGCATAAATGCTTGAAATTTTTTTAAAAAAAGAATATTTGGATATTGAGTGGAAAGTTATTCCAGTGATATAGATTTCAGAGAAGTTGCCAAGAAGCAAAGAACTAACAGCATGCCTTAAAATGACCTACTGTAATCTTCTTTCCTGAACTATAAAGGGCAACAAGTAATTGATAATTTTCTTCAGCATAATAATAAATGCATTTGAATATCTTAAGAAATATTATTGCTAGAAAAATCTGGGTGCTTCCTTCTGTAATGCTTGCTGAAGTAGTCAAACCTAGATATCTATGGAGAAAGCATTGCTTTTTCCATGCAAATAGCCATCATTTCTTGTTTCTTAGGTGGCAGTAATCAAGATAGAATTCCTGAAACATCTGCCAGATACCTCTGAATTAGTAATGGCATCAAAATGATACCCAATTTGATATATGCAATCTAACAAAATGGGAAATTCTTTTACAGGGGTTATAACAAAGGCTGTTTATAAATCAAGTGAAGAAGATAAGAAAGAAGAGGAAGTAAAGAAAAGTTTAGAACAGCATGACAACATAGTGACACACTATAAAAATGTCATAAGAGTACAGGTAAATATCTTTTAAAAGAAGTAACCATTTTCAAAAGTAGTTGCTTATCTCAGAAGCAAATCTAGACATGACATTAATCACTCCGTAATTAGACTGTGCCACTTCTATAAATAGTAAGCAGACTTGGGAAGGGAGTGATTTGGATTAACTGTGGCATATAAAGAGGTTTAATCCTTCCTCACTGCGCAAACATTTTCCTCATTTGATGGGACTGGTGACTTAGGGCCTGTCCAGACAGGCCTATATCCCAGGATCTGATCCCAGGTTTTCTGCTTTAAACTGGATTATGTGAGTCTGCACTGCAAGATAATCTGGGATAAACAGAACACCTGGGATCAGATCCTGGGATATGGGGCCTGTATGGAAGGCCCTTTAGAACAGCGGTTCCCAAACATTTTGGGTCATGGAACCCTTCAGAAAACATTTTTTCCCCCACAGAACCCTAAATCTTTTCCTGATTTTTACTAACCACTGTGAACCCACCAAATTCTTCCTTCCCATGTAGTTTTATTTTAAAATCTGTTTTAAATTTGATTTTTCAGATTTTTCACAGAACCCCCACAATGCTTTTGTGGAACCCTAGAGTTCTGGCATGTGCAATCCATGGTTCTAAAGTACTTACAAAACTAAAGTTCTGGTAGTGAAAATTAGGGGGCGCTGGTGCTTTGCTTCTACAGTGTTGCTGAAGTTCTGGTGGTGAAAATTTCAGAACTCTAACAAAACATACAAAATTTCATTATTATTTCATTATTGGTGATTTTTATGACAGAACCTATTAGGAACTGCCATTTATAATGAAATTTTGAAAGTTGTGTTAGAGTTCTGAAAGTTTCACCACCAGAACTTTAGCAACACTGTAGAAGCAAAGCACCAGCGCCCCCTAGTTTTCACTACCAGAACTTTATTTTTGTAAGTACTTTAGAACCATTTAGAACAGGGGTCCTCAAACTAAGGCCCGGGGGCCGAATGCGGCCCTCCAAGGTCATTTACCCGGCCCTCGCTCAGGGTCAACCTAAGTCTGAAATGACTTGAAAGCACAACAACAACAACAACAATCCTATCTCATCAGCCAAAAGCAGGCCCACATTTCCCATTGAAATACTAATAAGTTTATATTTGTTAACATTGTTCCTCATTTTAATTGTATTAAGTGTTTTTTACACTACAAATAAGATATGTGCAGCATGCATAGGAATTCATGCTTTTTTTCAAATTATAATCCGGCCCTCCAACAGTTTGAGGGACTGTGACCTGGCCCTCTGTTTAAAAAGTTTGGGGACCCCTGATTTAGAAGCACGGATTGCACATACCTATGGAACACATTTTGGGAACCATTGACTTAGAGAACCAGCATCCATTTCTCAGTGCAGTGAGCCATTGAGTTGATTCTATGGGATTTTTGGAAATGATATATAATGATCACATTCTAATTTAATGGAACAGCATATCAGCCAGTTTATGTAGTAGTTGACTGAGGGCAACCCATCCTTGGCTCTTTCTATGGGAAACATGCGATATTCTGAATGGAAGCTCACATTCAGAATATCGCATGGAGAACCAGTATCATGGTTGACTGACTAGCTTAGTGAGGCGTTCATCTAGTTGGTGGAATGGGCTCTGCAGCCTTAGGTCTTCAATCACATCTTGAAATTCTTTGTCTAACACTTTGCAGACAAAACATTGACCATATTAGCAAATGTCCAATGCCACACTTTCTGTCCAAAATAGCAGAAATAAAAGCCCTTTTAACACCATGATGACAAAGAGTCTTTTTATGCATCTCCCATCCACCTCTTTCCATTGGGTTCCCAAGTCCTTTGGAAGATTTGGGAACGATGATCCAAGCTCTTAACAGTTGTGTCTAGAGAATGGAAAGGCTGGAAAAAAGCCAGAAAAAATTGTGGGAAAACCGGGGTGGTGGTGGTGGTGGTAGTGGAGGAGGAAATGGAGTGGGAGGTTGTCTGGGTTTTTTTCTAGGCCTTCCCATCTCTAGTTGTGTCACCTAGGATTTCCAAAGTATTCCAAACTAACCAAAGAATACTGGGAACTGATCATTGGGTGAGAACTGCTAACTCATGGTGTAGTACTACACCTCTTGAGTGATTTTCTTGTTTCAGTTAGCTGTCTGGATATTGTAGTGCCAATGGGGCAGTGAGTGAAGTATTTCATATCCGATTTTCACCATGCAGAGCAAAGCTGGGCCATGTGACCCCAGTTTAGCTCAGTTATTGATAAGAAAAATGGGAATTAAAGTACAACACTATCTGAAAGCACACATGTTTCCCATCCCTACTAACATAGTAACCCCAATGGATATAATTCATATCTTCATGCAGAAATTTTTGTATGAGTCAGTGAGGATTTGATATTATAGTTATCTTAAATATATTACTTTTAGTGCAGTCACAAAAGAATGAAGTGCACCAGGGAACAACCTAGAACCATTTTGAACAAAGCCATCAAACTGTAGAAATTTTGGAGAGTTGATGCCTGTTAAAAACTGATGCCTGTAAACTGATTTGTGAGTCATAGCAAAGTTGTGTGTAAAATCTAATAGCACATTGTAGTGGAACTGGAATGTAGCGTGTTATGTAGATAGCATAACATGGCATCAGTAGAATCATTCATTACATTTAACTTCATTCACTACAATTAACATGTATAGATAACCTGGCAGTGGTGTAGGCAGCTAACTCTCTGTGTTTATTTTCCGTTATGTGATCTTTGCTGTAAGAAAAATAAATATAATGTGATGTAGTGTGTAGTTTCATATTAAGCATTTAGTTTGCTTTAAGTTAATTTTCTTCTTAAATTTTATTTTGAAGGACCAAGAGCTTGAAGAACTGAAGAAGCAAGTAGAATCTTTGAAAATGCAAAATGAACAATTTCAGACAACAATCACACAACAAGTATCACAGATTCAGCAACACAAGGACCAATATAACCTTCTTAAAGTACAACTAGGTGCAACTGCGAGTAATGTCTTGTATAGTATTTGCAAATTGTACTGCTTTGGAACAATAGCAACAAGCTGTTGGCCCAGTATTAGTTTGCTCTTTTATAAGCATTTGGAGCCATTCCTACTGCTTCATCAAGTTGGAATTGGGTGATTGTAATGTAGGGATTCTATTGTTATTAGTAATTAAGGGTAATATTCTCAGTTCTTGTGGGTTTTTTTGGGCTATATAGCCATGTTCTAGAGGCATTTCTCCTGACGTTTCGCCTGCATCTATGGCAAGCATCCTCAGAGGTGAGGTCCTCACCTCTGAGGATGCTTGCCATAGATGCAGGCGAAACGTCAGGAGAAATGCCTCTAGAACATGGCCATATAGCCCGAAAAAACCCACAAGAACTGAGTGATTCCAGCCATGAAAGCCTTCGACAATCCAAGGGTAATATTCTTAAAGATTGAAGAAAGAGGTTTGAAATTGATGGAAACAGAGCAGTTATTTAAAAGTAAATAAAAGCCTGGAGTGTCATGGCTGAGAGAATAGAGGTAGAAGGGTGTTAATCTGGGATTCTATGGAAGCCTCCTAAGTGACAGAATAGAACCAGGCATTTGATTCAGGAGGGGATTGATGAGTATCATGGAGATTAGTGAGAAGAGTGGGTCATAGACTCCTTCCGTTGTTTTTGTAATATAAGGATTTGTGGGTTGTTGTAGGTTTTTCGGGCTGTATGGCCATGTTGTAGAAGCATTCTCTCCTGACGTTTCGCCTGCATCTGTGGCAAGCATCCCCAGAGGTTGCCACAACTTTTGAGGATGCTTGCTACAGATGCAGGTGAAATGTCAGTAGAGAACGCTTCTAGAACAAGGGTCCTCAAACTTTTTAAACAGAGGGCCAGGTCATAGTCTCTCAAACTGTTGGAGGGCCAGATTAGAATTTGAAAAAAACCTGAATGAATTCCTATGAACACTGCACATATATTATTTGTAGTACAAAAAAACCCCACGCTTAAAAACAATTAAATAATTAAAATGAACAATTTTAACAAATATCATTAGTATTTCAATGGGAAGTGTAGACCTACTTTTGGCTGATGAGATGTGTGTCATCGTGTCATCAGCAACCATACCATTGTATTACATTTCTAACAAAACAAACAAACAGATAAAAAAAGCACAAATTTTGCAAACTTGGTAGTTGATTAAATGTCCTTTGACCAGTATCTGGCCACTTGGAGTGCCTCTGGTGTTGCCGCAAGAAGGTCCTCCATTGTGCATGTGGCAGGGCTCAGGTTGCATTGCAGCAGGTGGTCTGTGGTTTGCTCTTCTCCACACTCGCATGTCGTGGATTCCACTTCGTAGCCCCATTTCTTAAGATTGGCTCTGCATCTCGTGGTGCCAGAGCGCAGTCTGTTCAGCGCCTTCCAAGTCGCCCAGTCTTCTGTTTGCCCAGGGGGGAGTCTCTCATCTGGTATCACCCACGGATTGAGGTGCTGGGTTTGAGCCTGCCACTTTTGGACTCTTGCTTGCTGAGGTGTTCCAGCGAGTGTCTCTGTAGATCTAAGAAAAATATTTCTTGATTTAAGTCGTTGATGCTGGCTGATACCCAAACAGGGGATGAGCTGGAGATGTCGCTGCCTTGGTCCTTTCACTATTGGCTGCTACTTCCCGGCGGATGTCAGGTGGTGCAATACCGGCTAAGCAGTGTAATTTCTCCAGTGGTGTAGGGCGCAGACACCCTGTGATAATGCGGCATGTCTCATTAAGAGCCACATCCACTGTTTTAGCGTGGTGAGATGTGTTCCATGCTGGGCATGCATACTTAGCAGCAGAGTAGCAACCAGAGGCTGATGAGATAATATTGTTGTTGTTGGTGGTGTTGCTGTTATTGTGTGCTTTCAAGTTGTTTCAGACTTAGGTTGACACTGAGCGAGGGCCAGGTAAACGACCTTGAAGGGCTGTATCCGGCTCTTGGGCCTTAGTTTGAGGACCCCTGTTTTAGAACATGGCCATACAGCCCAAAAAAACCTACAACCGAGTGATTCCAGCCATGAAAGCCTTCGACAATACAATATAGGAATTTGCTCATAATCCCCAGAAATAACTGATGGGGAAAATGTTGTGGGTATAAAATTATGTCAGAGACCTGGTATAAAATGATGTTAGAATTCTCTTCCAAAATTGTACATCTCTGTGGAAGAAATAGTTGCTTTTGAAGCATTGTTGTAATGCTTTGAACCAGCAGTGGGATGACATCCATCTTATTTGATTAATTTCTCTGGAAACTAGATATAAATAAATAACACCTGATGCATATCAGCTGATCCACTCTTGCTTAAGAACCAAAGTTCCATAGAGGATCAGACCGCCAAGTATATCACTTTTAATAAGAATTTCAGCAAATTCACCAGTCACCCTGTCCCCTGCAATCCCCACCCCAAGCTATAATAAGATATTCTTACTGGTATACACTTGACTTGTAATGTTTCATAGGAAAGATAAATTTAAAATGGGTTTTAGGTAACGCTTATCTTGATAATTCCATCCCGAACCCTGCCAGTAAGACATTTCCAAATCTAATTAACAGGAAAAGAAAACCAGCATCATACTTCTCACAGTGATGTGGCTCAAATGAATGGGGTTCAGCCAGAAGATATCAGCAAATTGCGTGATGAGATTGAAGAATGGAAACACAAGCTTGAACTATTACAGGAACAGCTAAAAGAAAAGGATTCTTTGATTGAAACCTTAGTGAGTAACCAAAGCCTTGGAAAATGTCAGCTGTTAATACCTGATCTGAAATTCTGAGCCATTCTTTTCTTGTATGTAGCGCATTATACCACATTCAGAAACATTGACTTAGTGCAAAAATAATGGATGTGTTGGATCTTACAATGTTAATTGTTGGGGGGAAAAAATCCAAAACCAACAAGACCTAAATAAAGTACTGTATTAATTTAAATATTTTTAAATATGCCTTTAAAAGATGGGAGAATGAAGCATAACAGGAATGCTAGCCATAATCTATATAAATAAAAATGTAATGTTCGTTATGTGGGATTAACAGAACTCAAAAACCACTGGACGAATTGACACCAAATTTGAACACAAGACACCTAACAACCCAATGTATGTCCTTCACTCAAAAAATTGCTTTTGGCATTTGGGAGTTGTAGTTGCTGGGATTTATAGTTCACCTACAATCAAAAAGCATTCTGAACCCCACCAATGATGGAATTGAACCAAACTTGGCACACAGTTCTCCCGTGACCAACAGAAAATACTGGAAGGATTTGGCAGGCAGTGTCCTTTGGTATTGGAGTTTTAGTTCACCTACATCCAGAGAGCACTGTGCACTCAAACAATAATGGATCTGGACTAAACTCTACACAAAGACTCAATATGCCCAAATGTGAACACTGGTGGAATTTGGGGAAAATAGAATTCTGGCATTTGGGAGTTGTAGTTGCTGGGATTTATAGTTCACTTAAAATTACAGAGCATTCTGAACCCTATCAACAATAGAATTGGGCCAAAACTCCCACACAGAACCCCCATGTGAGCCACAGCAACGCGTGGCAGGGGATGGCTAGTTTTTTTATCTATAAAAAATATGAAATTGTTCATGTGTCTCACATACTTCAAATATCCATGGTATGTGAAGCAACCCCATTAGCACAACACTGTTTTTAAAAATCCTGTTTGAATTCTTATTTTGGTATAAATTATGTGCATTTATTTAGGATTTGCTATTTATAGGCAAAATGATAATGTTCTTTTAGATCACTTTGACAAATCCTGAACACTGGAAGTGTCAAGGAAGCTCTCCTGGCTTCAAAGATGGCACTAAGCAGTTTTAACACTTGGAAACCTATATGGGAAACCAGAAAGGCTATAAACTTGTTGCTGTGTCTTAAACAAGGATATTAAGGTTCTTGAGATAGAAGCTCTTTGCTAAAATTGTTTATAATCTGTGTTTGTTAATGTTTGATATTTGCAGAAGCTCCCTTCAGTAGCAGGAGATACAACAGAACAGTCTTCCCAAACCAATAAACCAAGTGGTGGCCGTGAGGCTGACAACGAACTATATAAGGTCAGAAATTCTTGTTGTTTGTTTTCTAGAGCACTTGTTGTTAAACTGTGTGTCCTAACTCCAAATGGGGTCCCCTTAGCTCATTGTTGGGGTCACAAAAATTGTCAAAAGTAAAATGTTTCTGAACATTAATTTGGACATCTACACCAGTCTGTGTTTCCAGTGGAGTCAGCAGAAAATGCTTCAACTGGACTTCATAAAAAGGGAAATCAGCCTGTTTAGCAAGACTGACAAATGCTGACTTATCTATATAAATAAAAATGTAATGTTTGTTTGTGCTACCATCAGAACTCAAAAACCACTGGGGCAATTGGCACCAAATTTGGACACAAGACACCTAACAGTCCAATTTATGTCCTTCATTCAAAAAAATGATTTTGTCATTTGGGAATTATCGTTCCTGGGATTTATAGTTCACCTACAATCAAAGAGCATTCTGAACTCCACCAATGATGGAATTGAACCAAACATGTCATACAGGACTTCCATGACCAACAAAACACACTGGAAGGTGGGCATTGACCTTGACTTTGGGAGTTGTAGTTCACCTACATCCAGAGAGCACTGTGGACTCAAACAATGATGGATCTGGACCAAACTTGACACAAAAATTCCATATGCCTAATTATGAACACAGATGGAGTTTGGAGGAAATAGACCTTGACATTTGGGATTTGTACTTACTGGGATTTATAGTTCACTACAATTCTGAAACTCACAAACGACAGAAATGGGGCAAACTTCCCACACAGAACCCCCAGGACCAACAGAAAATACTTAAGGCCATCCAGTCCAACTCTCTTCACCAGACATTACCACTCCCAAGCATCAGTAGATGGTCTGATATTTGATATATGTCATCTGTATATAGATGACAACATGCTGTAAATTCCTGAAAAGTCTCCCCAGTGATTTAAGTCACATTCATATGGCTAACAATACAAGTGACGTAATAGGAAAAATATATTTTTTACAGGAAATTGAAACGTTGAGGAGCAAAATCCAGTCACAGTCTTCAGACATTAATAAACTTCAGACTGAAAATCAAGAACTGCTTCAGAAACTGGTAATGTTGTAAACTTGTTACTATAGCTTTTGATTCATTACAGTTCCAATGAGCTATGAACATGTATCACTTGGCATTGTATAATAAGTAGCCAAGGCCTTCTTGTTTATCAGTGTAGCTCCTGGGCCACCTCTGCCCGAATCACTCTTGATTTCATTGAAAATAGTCACAGATCTATTCTACACACTTGTTTTTCCAACTTTTCCTTTTACCATATTGTTTCACCTCGTTTTATGTAAATAATATTCTCTTTTGGAGTGTTTAATAAAAATTAGTTAAAAAGAAATTAGTCACAGATCGTTATTCTGGGGAAAGAACCCTGTCCACCACCAAACTGATTCAGTGCTCTTTGTTTTTCAGAGCCTAACTCCAGTTCCTGTATCAGGAGATGGCGGCACTGTTGTGGTCTCAAAGACAGCTGACTTGGATGGGAGGCTCTCAACACTCTTGCAGGAGACTAAAGAATTAAAGGTTGCTTCCTAATAAAATTTTAATTACATGTATTGTCGAAGGCTTTCATGGCCGGAATCACTGGGTTGTTGTAGGTTTTTTCGAGCTATATGGCCATGGTGTAGAGGCATTCTCTCCTGACGTTTCACCTGCATCTATGGCAAGCATCCTCAGAGGTAGTGAGGTCTGTTGGAACTAGGAAAAAGGGTTTATATATCTGTGGAATGACCAGGGTGAGACAAAGGACTATTGTCTGCTGGAGCTAGGTGTGAATGTTTCAACTGATCACCTTGATTAGCATACAATGGCTTGACAGTGCCTGGAGCCAACTTTTGTTGAGAGGTAATTAGATGTACTTGTTTGTTTCCTCTCTGTTGTTGTGCTGTTGCAGTTTTAGAGGTTTTTTTTTTAATACTGGTAGCCATATTTTGTTCATTTTCATGGTTTCCTCCTTTCTGTTGAAATTGTCTACATGCTTGTGTATTTCAATGGCTTCTCTGCGTAGTCTGACATGGTGGTTGTGAGAGTGGTCCAGCATTTCTGTGTTCTCAAATAAAATGCTGTGTCTAGGTTGGTTCCTCGGGTGCTCTGCTATTGCTGATTTCTCTGGTTGAAATAATCTGGAGGACACCTTTCATTTTACAATTCATCTTAGTAACTTGGGAAAACACCCCAAGTTAATACTGTTAGTGATAAAACACTTGCAGATATCTTCAGCACTGACAAAATCTTATGGGACCTTTGATATCTTCTGACTGAAAACAACTGCCAGTTGGAGCTGATAAAATGTATTACTGAATAGAAGACAACTTCACATATTCATAACTGAAATAGTGAAGAAAGAGTATCTTGGTGCTTTTTCTTCAAACTGTATCTTTTAGATTTGCTCCTTTTGCATACAAATTGATTTGAACCTCTAAGGAAGGACTACCTGGATTATTATTACAGCAGGTGACTTTTACAACTAAGCCCTCTTTGTGAGAAATGCCAGTTAATTTTCACAATGGAAGAATGTTGAATTATTTCTAAATGGCTAGAATAGCCACAAGGAACCGTTAGGCGGAGTTGTTTCGAGTAGTCAGAGGGTTGTTGAACCCCAACTCTCAGGACGGGTCCCCTGACGACTTGGCAGACTGCTATGAAGCATTTGCTCAGTTATTTGCAGACAAAGTCAATTTGATCCGCTCAAGCTTTGACACCATTTTAACGGCAGTCTCTGAGGATGTAACACGAGCGCCTGCTTGCTTAAAACAAGCTGTGATAAAACCGCTGTTGAAAACTCGTCTAACGTTCAGCAGCCAGGCTATTGACGGGAGCAGGGTACGTGGAGCACAAACTACCTTGTTGCACCAGCTCCATTGGCTGCCGATTAGCTTCTGAGCACAATTCAAAGTGCTGGTCTTAACCTATAAAACCCTATACGGTTCCGGCCCAGTTTACCTGTCTGAATGTATTCTCCCCTATGAACCATCAAGGCTGCTAAGATCTTCTGGAGGGGTCCTGCTCTCGGTCCCACCACTTTCGCAGTCGCGTCTGGTGGGAACGAGAGACAGGGCCTTCTCTGTGGTGGTCTCTTGGCTATGGAACTCTCCCGAATTAAATGAGATTTGCCCCCTCCCTCCTGACCTTTAAGAAGCTAGTGAAATCTTGGCTGTGGAATGAGGCATTTCCGGAATGCTGACTGAGACTGGCAATTGACCAAAGTATTGACCACAGATGCAGACTGAGTTGGACATGATTTTATCTTGGCAGATTGGCTTATATGTATTTTATCCTATATGTATTTTAATTCACTGCTGTTTGTTGTCAGATTGTTTTGATGTTTTAGACTGTACTGTTAGCATTGAATCCTTGCTGCTAGCCGGTCTGAGTCCCTCTACAGAGGTAGAGAAGATCAGGATACAAAAGTTTTGAAATAAAATAAATAAATAAATACTTAAATGATGTAGCAGCGAGGTATGCATCACTTCTAGATACACAAGTATTTCATGCACATTAATTTTTTCTATTCCCAGAATGAACTTGCGTCCCTCAGTGAGGAAAAGGCCTCACTGAAATCGCAGCTGGACTCATCTAATAGTACTGTAGCAATTTTGCAAAACGAGAAAACTAAACTGCAACAAGAATTGGCAGAATCTAAAAAAGAGCAGGATGACCTTCTGGTGCTTCTGGCTGATCAAGACCAGAAAATAATTGCATTAAAGAATAAGCTCAAACAACTCGGAGAACCGGTAAGATGCATATTCAGTTAGGCTTGAGTTGCTCTGACACGTCAATATCTGTCACTTGCTTTTAGCATTCCTTTGTTCCTGATCTTTTTATTGCATGATGTGGGGAGAGGCTTAGCTTTTTGAAAATAATTGAAATTAGTTAAATTGTGTCTATATTGTGTGCGAAGCCTGCTATTGCTACTATAATGTGTGAACAGCTCTTCCTGAGCAAGGTAGCATGTCATCAGTGCAAACTTGAATCTTGCCAGTATTTATCTGAAGCATGGGACAAACATGAGGAATGCCTAGTATGCCACCATGAGCTCTTTAAAGAAAGGACAGGATTAAAAAATGAACCAGTAAAGTAATAAACAAGTTATTGAGCAAAGCAGATGTCATAATATGTGCATCTAATTATAGTATAGTTTGAAATGCTGAAAAAACACACTTGCTAGACACAAAATGTGAACTAAACAATTTAAATCTCAACTGCTTTGTTGTAATTTTGGTAAAATCTGATTAAACATGGAATAACTAGAAACACAACAAGATGAGTCCACAGCAGACACTCTGCTGGCTGTGGTATTGGATCACACGTCAGACACTTCCCAAGTGTCTATGACTGTGTGATATATTGGCGAATAATGTGTGCAGATCCCAGTAAGGTGGCCTTCTGCACCTGGCAGATGGTAATATTGTCAACGCTGATTGTGTTTAAGTGCAGGCCAAGGTCTTTAGGCACTGCACCCAGTGTGCCGATCACCACTGGGACCACCTTTACTGGTTTGTGCCAGAGTCTTTGCAGTTCGATGATGATGATGATGATGATGATTATTATTATTATTATTATTATATGGCAATTAGTTGTTTTGATAATCTGCTCCCCAACTAACAGATTAAATAATCAATTAAGCACCATTCTTCCCCTCTCCCTCACCTCCGAGGTTGAAGATGAAGATGATACTGAGTCTGGTGACCAAGGCGAAGATGATGAAGAAGAGGATGGAGAAGAAGAGGAAGATTAATTGTGCTTTATAGTGTCAAATATGGGAATCTTGTAATGGGAATCTTACATGAACAAAATGTGATGCAAAATATGGTTAAGGAAGGATCACTAGAACTAGTCCTGAGTTTCTGATGCAGTCAAGAAATGCTTTGTAGCTGAGAATGAACTCGTCCATTTTAAGTTTTATTGCACATGCGAAATGAATTGTTAATGCATTAAAGGCAGTTTTAGATGCTTTCTGAAGCATTGAAGGTAACGGCATGATAAACTAAATGTGCTGCCATTCGCATTTGTGTTTGTCATTACTTAACCTTTTTCTCTCTCTCTTTTTGATCTTTGACGTGATTAAATATGATATAACTATGGTTTAACATCTGTCAAATTGCCTCCTATATTCAGCATGGAGAGAGAATTCATGGGCTCTTTCTTGCTACCATTTATTCGAAGGTAGAAGGGAGATGGAGTGGGCAAGTGAGAGGATTATACCTTGGGGGTTTCTTCTCAGTGGATTTCACTTGAGGGGAACTGTCCAGCATTGAGTGCCTTGTGCCTGAGAGGGCTGCGTTCTGTACCTCAGAAGCAAAGGAGGAGCTGAAAGAGTGTGGAAGGGTTTTCATGAAGAGTAGGATTTAATAGTGCATAAAAGCAATTTTTTAAAAAACAGAAATTCCATGCAGAAATATTAGATGCTACCAGATTATCCCTTTAAGACAAACCTTTGTTCTTTTCTTCAGGTCATGTGCTGATGGATAATTTATTGACCTTATTGCCCAAGAAATAGATTTTTTAAAAAGAGAATTATACACAGTTGCTGCATCAACTTGTTTTGGTAATAAAAATAGATGCTATTAATTGTTTAGTATTCCTTTATTTGACTTCTGATTGCATTTAATCATGCTTTTTGAATGATATTTTATTTTGAATAGTCTTTAATTTATTGTCAAAGGCTTTCATGGCTGGAATCACTCAGTTCTTGTGGGTTTTTTCGGGCTATATGGCCATGTTCTAGAGGCATTTCTCCTATGACCTCACCTCTGAGGATGCTTGCCATAGATGCAGGCGAAATGTCAGGAGAAATGCCTCTAGAACATGGCCATATAGCCCGAAAAAACCCACAATTGTGGGAAAAAACCCACAATTAATTAATTATTTGAAAGCCTGACTAACTGAAATGCTACCAGACTTAGCAAACTTTATCAAGAACACTTGTGAAATATCTACATTGTGTAGTTATTGACTCAGCTCTTAACAGTAAGGTTAAGAAAGGTTAACACTAAAATAAGTATTTCGGATAGTTTGGGGATGCTACTATAAAAAGATGTATTTAAGATGGCTTATTTGTACCAGTTTGTCAAGATTCAGGTAACATCATAAACTTAAGTTCCAGCTAAATAAATTGGACTGCTACCTCAACAATGTTATCCCTTTTTGGAAATACAGGTGTTCAATATGCTGTCACTCCTGACATTTGGTTCTATTATATTTTCCACATGTAAGGAAAAGGAGGCTTTGTTAAGACTATTATTATTATTATTATTTTATTATTAAACTTTATTTGTACCCCGCTAGCATCTCCCGAAGGACTCGATGTGGCTTACACAGGCCAAGGCCTCAACACAACAACAGCATAACAACAACAATACAATTCAAAGCAAATCAAAAACATAAAGCAATAACAACAAAACATTACACCATAACACAGTAAAAACCAGGGCCGGGCCAAGTGATGGGTACAGATTAAAAAGTGCTGGGTGTGACAGGTGGTATGTTGGATTTCTGGGCAAGTGCAATGTGCAGAGAGTCTTAAACTCTAATAAAGTGCTTCTGGGACATAGTGCTGGGTTTTCCTATTCCGGAAAGGCACATCGGAATAGCCAGGTCTTCAAGCTCTTCCTAAAGACTGCCAACGTGGGTGCTAGTCTGATGTCTTTGGGGAGGGTGTTCCAAAGTTGGGGGGCAACCACAGAAAAGGCCCTGTCCCTCGTCCCCACCAAACGCGCCTGCGACGCAGGCGGGATCGCGAGCAGGGCCTCTCCGGATGAACGAAGGGAGCGCGTGGGTTCATAGACAGAGATGCGGTCACGCAGGTAGGCAGGTCCCAAACCGTTTAGGGCTTTGTAGGTAAGCACCTGCACCTTGAATTGGGATCGGAAGGTAAATGACAGCCAATGGAGCTCCTTAAACAGGAGGGTTGACCTCTCTCTGTAAGGAGCACCAGTTAACATCCTGGCCGCCGCCTGTTGGACCAGTTGGAATTTCCGAGCCGTTTTCAAGGGCAGCCCCACGTAGAGCGCATTACAGTAGTCCAATCTAGAGGTGACCAAGGCATGGACCACCCCGGCCAGATCAGCCTTTACGAGGTATGGTCGCAGTTGGCGCACAAGTCTCAATTGTGCAAAAGCCCTCCCGGCCACCGCCGACGCCTGAGCCTCAAGCATAAGCGAAGAATCCAGGAGGACACCCAAACTGCGGACCTGAGACTTCAGGGGGAGTGTAATCCTGTCCAGCACAGGTAGCCACCCTATACCCCGGTCCGGTTTTCGATCGACCAGGAGGACCTCTGTCTTGTCGGGATTGATCTTTAGCTTGTTCGTCCTCATCCAGATAGCCAAAATTAAAACATCTGAATAATTAATTGTAATGACACTGGCAAACACATATTTTGATGCATCCAATGTTAGACCTGTTCCTGGATATATCTGACCTGCTAATTCCAAAAGTAGCACCAGTTTCCCCCTATCAACTCTAGTTTTGGAGATACAGATCATATGCCACATACCAGTCTTCACTCTGCTCGCCCATAAAAAATCAGGATATTTTAATGTGTTTAAATTAATATCTTTTAGGCATGAAGGAAACATTGAAAATTAAAAAGAATTTATTTTATTTATCGTGTCATCAGCAACCATACCATTGTATTACATTTCTAACAGAACAAAACAAACAAACAGATAAAAAAAACACAGATTTTGCAAACTTGGTTGTTGATTAAATGTCCTTTGACCAGTATCTGGCCATTTGGAGTGCCTCTGGTTTGTGGGATTAACAGAACTCAAAAACCACTGGACGAATTGACACCAATTTGGACACAAGACACCTAACAACCCAATGTATGTCCTTCACTCAAAAAAATGATTTTGTCATTTGGGAGTTGTAGTTGCTGGGATTTATAGTTCAACTACAATCAAAGAGCATTCTGAACCCCACCAACGATGGAATTGAACCAAACTTGGCACACAGTTCTCCCATGACCAACAGAAAATACTGGAAGGGTTTGGTGGGCAGTGTCCTTTGGTTTTGGAGTTGTAGTTCACCTACATCCAGAGATCATTGTGGACTCAAACAATGATGGATCTGGACAAACTTGGCACAAATACTCAATATGCCCAAATGTGAACACTGGTGGAGTTTGGGGGAAATAGATCTTGACATTTGGGAGTTGTAGTTGCTGGGATTTATAGTTCACCTACAATCAAAGAGCATTCTGAACTCCACCAACAATGGAATTGAACCAAACTTGGCACACAGTTCTCCCATGACCAACAGAAAATACTGGAAGGGTTTGGTGGGCAGTGTCCTTTGGTTTTGGAGTTGTAGTTCACCTGCCTCCATAAATCACTGTGGACTCAATGATAGATCTGGACCAAACTTGGCACTGATACTCAATATGTCCAAATGTGAACACTGGTGGCGTTTGGGGGTTGTATTTGCTGGGATTTATAGTTCAATCAAAGAGCATTCTGAACTCCACCAATGATGGAATTGAACCAGTCTTGGTACACAGAACTCCCATGAACAACAGAAAATACTGGGTTTAGTGGGCATTGACCTTGAGTTTTGGAGTTGTAGTTCACCTGCCTTCACCACGCCGGCGTTCCCTGGCCACGCCCACCCAGCGCCGCTCCGTCAATTGTGGACACCCTGCTCCAGCTCTGCAGAGGACCCACCTGGGAGGCTTCTCCCTCCCACACAGGCAGAGCGGCCGGAGCAGAGGGGGTCAGCAATTGACAGACTGACGCCGGGTGGGCGTGGCCAGCGAAGCCAGCGTTCCCTGGCCACGCCCACCCAGCGCTGCTCCGTCAATTGCGGACACCCTCTGCTCCAGCCGCTCTGCTCTGCAGAGGACCCACCTGGGAGGCTTCTCCCTCCCACACAGGCAGAGCGGCCGGAGCAGAGGGTGTCTGCAATTGGCGGAGCGGCGCCGGGTGGGCGTGGCCAGGCCAGGCCACGCGGGCCGGAGAAATGCCCTCGGCGGGTCGCATACGGCCCACGGGCCGTAGTTTGGGTACCCCTGGTGTAACCCATGGTACTCATTTGACACCAAATTGGGAGGGATAGCCAATACTCCAGAGGACAGGAGCAGAATTCAAAACGATCTTGACAGATTAGAGAGATGGGCCAAAACTAACAAAATGAAGTTCAACAGGGACAAATGCAAGATACTCCACTTAGGCAGAAAAAATGAAATGCAAAGATACAAAATGAGGACACCTGGCTCGACAGTAGTACATGTGAAAAAAAGATCTTGGAGTCCTTGTGGACAACAAGTTAAACATGAGGCAACAATGTCATGTGGTGGTCCATGCCTTAGTCACCTCCAGATTGGATTGAAAACGGATGTTTGGGCTTGGCCTTATGTAAGCTGCCCTGAGTCCCCCGTTGGGGGAGATGGTGGCGGAGTATAAATAAAGATTATTATTATTGACACAAAAGCACAAATATATAAACACACACATACACATATATACACACAAAAAACATATATACAGAGACTGGGCCACATCGAACGGCTTGCTTGTGATAAAATGTAGACCTATTACTCTAACTGGATTCTGAGGTCATCTCCTGAGGATCTCCTCTACATATATTCCTAACAGAGAGGTTAGGTAAGATAAAGGTACCTATACTGACATGGATTTGTTAGTACTGGGACTCCAAGTGAGGATTACCGCCTTCAGAGATATTTGATTTCTACACAGTCACTGCTTCGCTGCTTGTATTTCAGTTACAAGCTAGGAGCTAAAGAGTTTATTGACACAACTGTCACCTAGAGACGGTTTCAGTAGGATTTTTACTGTATTAAAACTACATTAATGAGGAACACTACTTTGGCATACAGTTGATGCAACTTTCCACAGGGTGGCACTGCTTCGCTATTTCCTGAGCAAACACTACTACATTTGGACTTGCAGAAAGTCAGTACTTTTTTCTCCAGCAATGCAGTTAATGCTGACCTTTTAAAAAAACTGCATGGTGACATCTATCTGTCTACACACATAATATCTATCTATAAACATAATAAAAGTGAAAAATATGTGTGTGACGGTGGTGTCCACTTACACAGGCAGCCTCCCGCCTCCAAAAACAGGCTATAGTTCTGAGAAGCCTCCAAAAGCACTCCCTCAACTGACATTGCATGTTCAACTGACATGTTCACTGATCATGAACATGTAGCGCAACTCCTGCCAATGTCCTCCTCAAACCCTATGGCCCACCACCCGAGGAATGCTTTCATTCGGGGAGAAATTTCATCCTAGATTTGATGGGTTTCCTCCTCCACAGGCAGGCATCCCAGGGTTCCTTGTGTGGAATTTGCATGACCTTGCCCACTGCCTCTTGTCTAACCCTCTATATATTTTCAGGGAAGGTTAGGTACCGTTGGAATCTTCGTAATTTGGAATAAAGTCAGAAAAATTACCTTTTTGAAGTGATTATGAAGTTTTTAAGGGGTTTGGGATGGGTGGGCGATGCATGGGTGGGTAATATTGGGGTGTGAAGGTGCAGTTTGGGTTGTTGTATGCTTTTTCGGGCTATATGGCCATGTTTTAAAGGCATTTTCTCCTGACGTTTTG